AAATTAATCAGGCATAAAATCGTGCCTTATTTTTGAATTCGGCGCGCATTCCATTTTTTTTTACATCCTTTGCAAATATTGCACATGCTTCATCACATATTTATTTATTAATCTTTATATTCTTATTAATTCTAATGATACTACCTTAGAATTATTATGAATATTAGTAATTTAATTGATTTGATATATGATGGAATTTTACTACGAATATTACAGATAACTTGGTCAATAATGTACGCAAATAAATTATTCAATATCAAACAAAATCTATAGGGAAATTCGATAATATTTTACTACAAGAGATCCCGCATTTTTAATATGATACTAATTTATTATTTTGTATTTTATAGGTTAAAATATTTAAAATATATTCTAATTTTAATATATTTGGAATATCTCAAAATCCAGATACAAACCTGATTCGTATAATCCTATAATCTTATTGAGAAAAAGGTAAGTAAAAATTAGAATAAACTTTAAAAAAACAAGGTAAATATTTTTAAAATATATAAATAAGAATTGAAGCATATTACAATTTCCTTTTCTTCTAATTACTATGGTACTAACAATGTATTATTCTTTCTTTAATAACAACAAAGAACAAGCATTCTATTTGTGGCGAATCACTATAGTTAACAAGGAACTACTGTTTGTAATCTAATTGTCTAATTTCATTGAATGTCTATTATAAGGCCGCCTAAAGACAATCGCCCAACCGACCATCGTTACTCCTATAGTCGGATTCATGTGAGAGATACACGCGCAAATATGATCAGGTTAAAGAAATCCCCCATGAACCGACCTAGAATAGCGATGTAAGGCCCTAGAATATGAAAAAAAAATCTACAAAAGGAAAAAACAAAAAAAAAAAGAAACAAATGCAAAAAAGAAATTATTCTAACAAAAACAACTAGAAACTACATTATTGTCAATATTTTTAATAATATATTTGTTATTGGAAGGGGTTTACTAATCTTGATAGTCTATAATTTCAATACTAAAATCCTGAACAGATCAAAATCCAAACAGTTGTAGAAAACTCAACTGTATAAAATCCTGACAGTAATCAAATCCCGAAGTTTTAAAAAAAAAAATTTTTTTTTTTTTAAATTGTATTAGTTAAAAAAAATAAGGTGAATCTTAAAGTTTTATATTCAGCAATTTGCACATATTTTGTAGAATTTCAATCCCAATTGTATGAATTTTGTGACACAAAAAGAATGGAAACAAGTAGAAGTTCAAGCTGATATATGTTCGCCTTCGACCATGGTCATACACTTGAAAGATTTAACGTTGAAATTTAAAAAAATTTCGAAGTTCCATAATCAGGTTTTGTGCATTTCATAGGAATGTCGTGAATGACTAGCTGGAATTTCTCACTGTTTTTCTTTATGGGGGGTCCAACTGGCCGAGAGCCATCGTAACGGGTCATTGTCTAACGTGTAAGCCAAAAACCTTGGTCAATTCTAGACAATGTGAAAGTCGATATGGTTATCTTAACACGGAGAGAAGGAGAGTGCGCTCATTTAAAGGATTAGTTCGAGATCTTGTAAGCGATCTACGGTGATTTTTTATTGATTGCTACTGCGTCTTTGTACTTGATTTTCCCGTTTCACCAGGGTGTTGCACGCTGGAATCTGATATAGAAAGTATTTTAACTTTCATAGATCCTAACAAAGAAGCAAAAGTGTCTTCTGGCATCATCTTGTGATAACATTCCTCTAGAAATTCGCCATCGATGTTGAAATGCATATGCAACCACAGGCTCCAATTTCTGATTATTTTAATGAGGGGCCTTCAGGCTTCAGCAGTTCAGTCATGTCACTTATTACGTAGAGAAGTAATTCGAAGTTAGATAGGTCAAGAACGATACATTTACAAATAATTACAAAGTCACGTGGGATGAATTGTACACAACTATTCTGTGCGACAATAGATTTCTCTATATCTACAAAAAAAAAAAATATCATTTTCCAAATTTTTGTCAGACTATTATATTATAAAGTAGACGACTACCTACAAAATTACTTTGCCAGAATTGTGGAATCTCGACGATTTTGTTAATTGGTGCGGTTCAAGCGAGAAGCTCAAAAGTGACAAGGCAAAGATTCTTGATCACATAAGTAACTTGAGAAGACTGTTGATAACAATTTGATTAAGGAGGATATACGGCAAAAGGCAAAGATTAATTTCAGGTGTATTATATATGGATAGCACATGTCTAGGATAGGATTATATGCATCGTTAAGCGACTGTTCGTTGTTTTTGTTGCTACAATCTGAAGAGGTAATGTGGACTGAACCGGAAGATCAACTGTTCGTTTGTCCTTTTCTTCAAGCCTCTTATGAAACACTGGGACTGTTCGTTACCATGTGTTGGACTGTTCGTTCGTCACGGCCTTATATGCTCTTTAAAGCAATGAGGATTTGATTTTTGTTTATGTATTATTAGCAAATTAATCATTTCCTTCATGTTCCATGATGGAAGGCATGGAAATCCTCAGAAACAACAACAACGAACAGCTTGAGATTCGTCATCATACCAAACAGAAATTGGAATTGATTGAAAGTCAGAAGACTATTGAGCCCGCCGAAATCGAACGTATGAAGGTAGCTTTTTTTTGTTCTTTTAGACATGCAACATACGATTTTCTTACTATAATAGTACGTTATTTGTACTAAATAATTTGATATGTAATATGTTACAGGTCACTCAATTACGGAACAATACAGAATCAGTAACAAAGATCCATCAGCATGTTTGCTGATGGCTTTGTTGAACTTAGTAAAGAAAATACAAGAATACAAAACGCGTGTTAGAAGTTAGTGAAAGTAGCTCTAAAGCCTGTGAGTCTTTTTTTCGTATGATTTTTAAAGTATACAAAAATCAATAATCTTTCTTTTATGACAGGATGATGAAAACGCAGGTTATGAATCGGAGGAGTATGATTTAAATGCAGATTACGAAATTAGGAGCCTCACACGGGTATTTTGGCTTTTTTTTTCAACTTTATGTATAATATTTTAATATTTTACTCATTCATACTTAATCTCCTAGAACGGGATATAGTTCCGCAGTAAGCTGCCGAGCATCTTGGCTGAACACCAAAAAAAGATAAAATCCAGCAGAGAATTACATGAGTTAGTATGTCTTAATTGCATACTAGATCTCTCTGATGAGGAGGTGTATAAGTCTGTTAAAAAGTCTCTTAATAGAGATCAACTTAATCGAAAAAGTTATAACGAAGAAAAATTGGAAACCAACCTCCGAACTTGTACAACATGAGCAATTTACTGAGGGCGTGTGTACTCGAGCTATTGTGCGCAAGTCATATGTCTCCGGAAGATGATCCTTACTATCATGAAGCTCATTATATCGCCCAACAAATATTAACGCATTTGTAAGTATTTTTTTTTATATTAATGTTGTGTATTTTTCATCCTATTACTTATTTACTTATTTCCTATAAATAGTTCTGTTCGACTTGAAGTTCCAATGAGAGTCGAATATAAAGGCCACGAGTTAGAAAGAACTTTTGCCATCGACACCATAGTATATATCTTGAATCGATTATTTAGAATGCATCAAGACGAACTAGATGTTGCATGTAAATATCACTTTTATTAAAATTCGAAAGTTTTTAATTATTAATCATACTAATCATTACTGTTTAACTAAGGGCTGAACAAACTACTCCAGACACAAAAGACCACAAATTTGATGGATTATACAAGGTAATCGGAACAACCGGTAAAAGCCAGACCATAATTATAGTAGAATTTTCATATAGAAGAAAGGTACCACGTCCAAAAAAAAGACGGCGATCGGTTAAAATTATGTCGAAATTCAATGAGAATTCTAAATAAACTATTAAAACTGTACCAAAAGAACGTGCATGAGTTTATATAGTGCAATCGTTTAGTAAGTATCACAATCAGAAGCCAGTTATGATAAATTCTTATAGACGGGTTTATCGAAGTTAAGTTTTTAGTTCGTCCAATCGCATCAATATATTTACTTTAACGCTTTATGTGTACCAAAATACCCACCTCCTACCTCCTCCTTGAAGACTTTGAACAATTTGCTAACGATTTAAAAGGCCTATTGAACTAGCAGGTAAAGGATTGAAATTAGATATTTATAGATATCTTGTTAGATACTTATAATAACTACTTTTGTGTGATATTACAGGTTGATGTCTTGTCAACGGTTAGGGCAGTAAATAAAAGCAATAACTTGGAGATAAAACAAGCGTAGATAATATTCTCCATTTGGCTTCAGTGGACGATATACTATTAAAGAAAAAGAAGGAGGAAAACAAAAATCAACCTTCATATCCTAAATCTCCATGCCCCTCGAAATTATCACCGTTGCGATTAGAACTAGGTTCTTTTTTTTTTACATTATAGCTTAGATTTTTGCTCCGTGTAATTATTAATTTACTTTCAAATATTTTTTCTTATCTGCATGTTGATGCTATAATCAATTGTAAATACATACGTAATATATATACATCAATTTATTCTGCCTCTAAATAAATGTTTTCTCACTGAGTGTTACAAATGCAATGCGCGTGATTTGTAAGGCTATCGTCAGGTCATGTTTCTGTACTTACAACAGTTATTTAGAAAGGTTTAATTAACATTACTGTTCGATCAACCCAATGAGAACAAATTGTAACTACCTCTTCTTCGGAAACTGACACCGTGTTTTCTTTTCTTTCGGACTTTCGTTTCTCCTTTGATTATCATCTACCACTTTACCTTTTCTTTTTGATGTGGTATTCGATAGCGATGCTGATTTCGACAACGTTATATTTCTTGACGTTTAACTGATTAAAATAGCACGTGACCTAAATTGGTATAATTTATTTTTTTGCTCGTTTAGTAACCACAAATAGTAAATAGATAAACAGCACATGTTAAATTATCTTAATTGCTTATGATTTTCATTAATTTAAAAATTTGTGATAGAAGTTCAGTTAAAATTCCTTACGCGGCATTTTATGTGTAATACAGACTTAAAAAGATTGTAACAAATAAAATTATATAAATACCAAATGGGAATTACCTAAATGACAATTACGTGGAAGAATTTAATTAAGGCCTGTTTGGTGTTTTCCTGAGAGAAAAATTAGCCTGGAAATACAAGTACAGTACAAAGAGCAGAAAAGGACCAATAGCAGTTGATTAGAAATATGGAAAGGGGAGATATTTCATCTAAGGAAAAAACTAAATTTTTATGGGAATACATCAACGCGGAATTTATAAAATAATCAATATAAACTGAAGAGAGTGGCAGTAACAATAACAGAAGAAAGAGTATGAAATAGCTCTTTTGATAGATTTAGATGAAGAATTATTTACTTCAAAGAATAAGATACAGTAGAATGTGTTTCGACGGAATAGACTCAGATTTAGACAAGAAAACTTTTGTCGAGTATAAGTTATTTGTATCGTATAGTTATTTAAGAAAATAAAGAAAAAAGTATAGTTATTAAAGAAAATAAGAAAAAAATATTTCAGAAAATAATGAAGATAAGAAGATTCAGACTGAAGGGAAAAAGGGAGAATCTGATCATCATGGAAAATGATCCAGCAAAGGATCCAAAGGAAGAAACGAATTCTATCAAGAAGAACGATGAAAAAAAATGGAAAGAAAGTTATTGAAAAAGTTGAGAAAGATAAAGGACAAAAGATAAGAAAAGAAGAGGAGCTGAAGATTCAATCTCTGAAGTTACCTAACTTGATCATCGAGAGGAAAGAAGGGAACGATATAGTGATAAAACGGCATATCTCCAAAAATCAATGATATCTTAAAAACAACGCTGTTGGTGAATGAAACAAAGGAAGAAACAGAAAAAACATTGGAACACAGCAAGCTACAACTTACGCTAGAGGAAGTCGTCGATACTGTGAACAAGTATAGAAAAAGTTAAAAGAAGAGAAACCTAGACCATATGCATTGTCATCTATTAATAAAAGTACATCATGCGAAATTGTGAAAGTTATTAAAGAATACAGGGAAACAGATAAGCCGGAATGTCAGACTAACGTAGAAGTTGAACAAAACCGCAAATCATGTGTTAATAATGTGGGAAGTATTTACCGTCATCAGCTATTAATATGAATGAAGATGGGGAAGGAAAAAAAAGAAGGTCATGACAATGGGAATAAGAGAAACAATAGAGTCAACGTGTTTGGAGGACAGCATAGAGGATCAAGAGAAGAAGAATGACAAAGATAATTATCAATTGCTACTGTAGTCGAAATCATTTCTTTCGATCATCAGCCGTTTCGATCATGTGATTCGATTGGGTTTTAAAATCGTCAGTTGGAAAATGACACAGATGATCTAAAGTAGAACCTTATATGTAATAATATAGAAATTTCAAATTTATATAATTTAATAATCATGTAACATTATTTATTTTTTAATAACAATTTTAATCTAACTTTAACATTGAATCAACGTAGGTGCTCATCAAATAAAATCAAGTAATTTCTATTTAACTAACATGTTATCTGATGAATGTCATGTTCACCTATTATTACCTGTTATTATATTATATAATTTTTTTTTTTTGATTTACAGTTTCCGATATGCGATGTTGAAAAACTCGTTTTTTTGCAATGCATTAAACCTTATTCGAAAACACATATGTAATCCTTGTAATCCCCCTAAAAAAATAAATAAATAAATAAATATAGATAAACGATCAAATTCAGAAAAAAAAAAAAATTTTTTTTTTTCTTAAATCATATGGTCTTTCGTCAGATTCACCTATAATTTTACCTATCTAATATTATTAAATGTAATGACAATCACAAATGTCACGGGGAACTGTGGACAATGATTTTCACGGCACAGCCGTGAAAATCATGATATTCCACAGTTACTATATCACGGTATCCGTACCATAAAGCCTTTTAGTATACTTATTTTGGCTAATAATGATATACTTTTTATTCCATCTTTTTAAATAAACACCACCCGCGAGAATATCAAGAAAAAAAATCACAAATTTTAACTAGGAACCGCGGGATAAAAATTCTCATGTCATATAGATATCATTATTTGAAAATTAGTTAAATGACAATTTCACTGGCTCACATAGCTTGATAAAAGTTAAATTTTATAGACTCTCCATTTCATTTTAATTTTTATATTCACTCCTTCCTTCCAAAACAAACTACTTTTAAATTTATCGATAAGTACAAAAACATTTTCCCAATGCATCACCCGAACTAGTTAATGAAGCCTTTCAAATTAGCAGTAAGTTGGTAAGACCTACTATTCTTGTCCGGGTAACTAATTTTGACTTTTTTGGCCTCCTAACCCAATTTACAGCCTGATGAAGCAAACCATACGTGTAAAGTACCCAGATGTGCGATATATTTCCTATGAGGAGATTAAGTCAAAGTTATTTGGTATTTCTCTAATTCCTTGAAATTGAAATTGAGACATATAATATCATGAAATTTAATTTGATCGAGATTCAAATTTTTATTAACAAGGCTTATAATGTTAAATACATTTTTTCATACATTTCGCCTAGATAATTGCATATAAATAATATAATTTACAAAATAGATATGAATGCTAATGCTTAACATAGCACATCGAAAATCTTACGTAAGTAGCAATTCGCCAATGAAGTAAAGAAATTTTTTATTATTTATATCGAATAATAAAGTATGGAACATCCGTCCGGGCGATAAAGCCATTAAGCCATTGAATGACTGCTCACTTGCATAATTCATGGTCAGATAATATAGTTGATTCATAAGTAAATTTTTCTTGGCGGGTTTGTCTTGGGATGACATTAAGTATATATGTACAGTTTAACTTCAATGTAACGAAACCCGGTTTCATATTATTTAAAAAAAATCTCGATATAACGTATACCGAACTTTTATTGATTTACCGTTTATAATAAAGCATATAAAAAAATTCTTAATATACAGAATGCTCGCCCTTGGAATTTTTTGATTTGTTATCATTTGTTTCATCCGGACCATATCTTCTGCCGTCATTACATGGAATCCGAGCTAATTCTACATCGGATCCAATGGGAACCTGGGGCGAAAATTAGCATAGCTCTGGTATTTGTGATAATTAAATCTTATTTCTGGCCAAAATTATTATTCTTAATCACGTGATATATTTATGTGCCGAACTTGCATATTATATGGGAATATAACTATAAATGATATATTACGCTTTTTTCAATCAATATTTCAATGAGTGTTTAAACTGAAGACGAATTTAGAGAGATTAACTATCGATAAACTGGTAATAACAAATCTCAAAACTGATCACTTCCAAAAACAGGGGTGGAGCTTGGGCTATAAATTCGAAAAAATGTATTCTCAAGTATATCAAGTATATCAGTTCCATTTTTTCCGTATTAATTTTGCATAAATTGTTGATCCATGTAGTGACAGGAAAAGATAAAGAAAATCACTTAAATGAGAACCACAACCATTTGTATAATGTGGGATTGTGTACGTGTAACCGAAACTTTTTTGTTTTTAAACTTTTATATTACTAGTCGGAAATACAGTAATTAGAAGAATCGAATAAATAGATTAAGGTTATTTAAATAATATTTTATTTTAAATTCGATGATTTGGATTACTTTAATTTTTATAAAACTATCTTAATCGCTGAAATTTACTTATTTTTAAAGTTTTGTTTAGACCATCTCTGATAATATTTTTCGTCATGTATTAAACTGCAGTTTTTTTTTTGGTAACTTCATTAGGTTAAGGTATAATATGATAAGAATTCTTTGTTATAATAAACTTAAATTTTTTCGCGCATGCTATTGCTTAGAATGTTCAGTTCATCTCATTCAAAAAGTTTGAATTATATATATTTCTAATGAGTACTAAATTATCGCCATTGTTCTGCATTTGCATATTATTTGTAATTGTACTTCACCATTACACCCATAATACCATAATAAAGGAGAATTGACGTAAAGTTAGTACTACAGAATTACTATTTTTTCAATATTAAAAATCGGATTGAATTGATATTTAATTAGCTATTTATAAACTTCTATCATACGTAATTTCATGTGCTTCCTTACTAAATATATTATTTAGCAATTGTTATACAGAATGCCTTTAACGAAAACAATTAAGAGTAGGATCAACAGTTAATGCATTTACATAAATAATGGTTCTTGTTCTGAACGCTATTTATCTTTCTTTTTCAAAACATATTATGCAAGACTATCAAGACTATTCCGACGATGGTAAAAAAAATATATAATATTTAATAATTTCATATAATGTATATACAGCATAAAAATTGTAAACTCGCTCTGTCAAATACGCTTTAAGGAAAAAACTTTATTAAAATACATGAGTAACGAAAGTGGATAAATTTTTAACGAGAAAAAAGATAGAATCACGTGATAAATTACACGTGATAATGAGGATATTCTAATTTACACTTGTACACCATTTTTTTTAGAGGATTCGATGATCGGTTCTGGTGTTTTTGTCTCCAATAATAATTCGGCGCTGAATTCGGTAAACCTAGAGGATGACGACTCTAATTCGGATGATTCAGATGAAAGCGAGACTTACGATCAGAGAATTGAGGCTGATCCTCCTTCTTCCCCACCTGATGATTCAGATTTACTACAGCAAAATTTGAGTCAAATCGTGGATCCTTATCCCAATAATAATCCTTATTCAAACGATAATTTATATGATCCACAAAATTATGAATACGATTACAAATCTCAAGCTAGTGAATCATTATCCGAAGAATATCAAGCGACAAGTGAGCTCGTAAATCCGACTCCAATTAATTACGGAGAATTACTAAATGATTATCAACCCAATAATGGTTCTGAGAAAAACAACCAAAATTTAATTAATAACAGTTCGAAAATAAGAGCCAGAAAAGATAATAAGAGGACTGAGCCAAAGAATTATCTCCGTGAAGCCATCAGAAGTCACAAAAATAATTCAATCGATTCGAATGAATTTGGCAAAGATTTGGCCGAATGCATTCCCGGATTATATCGTTTGTTAGACTTAAGTAAAGTTGATGGTTCAAGTAGTTCTGGTATATTGATTTGCATTTATTTGTAAAATTAAAAATATTTGAAGTTTAAATGTTAGGATAATCAAACATTTCTCATTATGTATTTCACTATTTTTTTTTTTAGTGGACAGGATGACTATTTCCAAGGATTCTTTAAAAAAGCTATGCAACAATATAATTCCATCAAGTTTCAAGTCTATTTCTGAAATTGATTATGAAAAGTTGAATTCAATCTCATTTCGTCTTATTGGATGTTACGGAAATCATTTTCTCATAGCAAAATTCTTATTGAATAAGAAAATTATCGATCAGAAAATGTATGTAATATGAAAATATTATACTTAAATAATTTATTTATATATATTTTATTACATTATTTAGATACGACTTGCTTATAACTTCAGACAATAAAAATAAATCTTCTTTACGTCCGGGAATTTACTTATTAGTTGTGGATCAAGGTTTTGATTTAGGCTTAGTTATTCATTGGTCTGAACCTGGATGCTATGAGGAAAATGCTTCTTTACAACATAAGAATAATATGATTTATCTTCATAGGTATTATATGAGTTATTAATATAATTTTTTTTTCAAAATCGCGTAAAAGTTTTAAATCTATTTAATCGAATAATATAGATGTTTGACAAAACTTACCGATTGTCAGCTTTGCTTTATGAGCGATAAAGACTTGGATAGTTTTGATTGGAACTTAAACAGTCTCGACCTCAATTCAGACCACGAAAATGGATCATGTTATGAATTTGAAGTCAAAAGTAGTCAGGAAGAGAAAGACGACTTCGAAATCAATCTTGGTTTTAAGGTTACTGTTTAGGTTAATTAAATTAAAATATACACTTTATTATTTTATTTTCCTTAACTTAAATTTCAATTTTAAAGATGGATTTACCTAATGAAATCAGAACTGAAATAAAAAACACCATTCAATATGACGTACCGTTATATCCGATTGGTAACTTAATTATTAAATTGTATTTATATATTATGTCAAGATATCAAGAGATTAACAAAAAGGACTTTTTATAAATCAGTTGTTGAATCGGCTACAAACATATCTTTCATTACTAGAAAGATGGCGATTTCATCGGATATTGAATCTTTGTCTTGTTCAACATTCACATTTTCAACCGAACTTCGTAATCGACTTCAAGGACGTAGTTTATCTATTAACCGTGAATCCATGAACATGAAACAATTAGAAATATTAATTAATAATGGATTTGAAGCGGAAAAAGAACTTTTAAACCCATTTCATGACGCATTAAATGCGTTAAAATTACGGGAAAAAAAGGAGATCGATCAATTAAAACATACAATTAAAGAAGATGCGGAAATTATTACTCGAATAGGGTGGAAGAAATCTTATAGGTATTACACTAAAGTTATACACAAATTATGTTAATATGTGATAAAAAAATAATTTTTTTTCTTTAGTATATTTGAGACATACGTTGATAATGACAACGCAGCAAATAATAATATTAGCGAAGAAGGTAAATTCTCAATAATTGATTATTACGGTCATTAAAATTGAATTAAAATATAATATTCTTCATTTCAGAAATTAATAGAATTCAATCAAAATATCCCGAGGTCAAAGATATGATAAAAGAAATTAAAATTGATTCCTCTGCTTGGATTAAATTGAAACAAAGATATGCATTATCATATATTGTCGTAAGAAATGTTTATAAATTATTAGATAAACCTGGAAAAATTTCAGATGAAAAAAATATCGATAATGCACTTCAAGAACTGTATTGTATGTTCGTTGACAAAGAGACTGATACGCATAAATTAGTTGAAAAATATGTGAAGCGATCACAGCAGGCACTCACTGGTGCGAACACTACATTCAATAGAATTGAACAACAAGCCAAAATATTTACTCAGACTAAAAATGATTCTGATTTTGTTCAAGAATACCTAACCAAACCATTTTTTGGAAAAAAAAATAATTTCAACCAAAAGGTATTAGAAGTTTTCTTAAACGAATACCAAAATTGGAAAAAAGAAAGCTTTCCAAATACTGTTGAAGAAATGGTTCCAGAATTTTCTTTTAACAAAGAGGAAATGGAGAAAATAAGGGAAAAATTTTCTCAAGAGAAAAAAGATATTGAGAATCGTGAATTTGAAAAAATACGTAGTAAGTTAGAAAAAAATTATAACAATGGGTAAGTTATATAATTATATATAAATTGTTATTATTTTTAAATTTTATTTAAAAATTATAATTTTGTTTTTAGACCTCTACGTGTAAATGTATTAGAAATAATAAATGAAGCAGGTAATTATTAATTATAATTAAGTTATTATTCAATCATTAATAACCTAAATATTTTTGTTAACAACAGATGAAGATAACGTTCGTCTAACTTATAAGTTAGAAACAAATCAATTACAAATAACTATTTATGAAACATTATTAAAAGAATCAGACATCTTGAAAATTCAAGATGATGAGTTTTATATTTCAAGTCCTATTTTGTCTCCTTCTGGTGTTGATTTTCTGATCAATCCTATAGTTTATGATTTCAGGTAATAATCAATAAAATTTATGTTTTTTTTTTTTGATAAATATTTAATACATATATAATTTCCAAATCAACAGAAAAATATCTCAAATCGGTATTTGTAAATTCCTTCTTGTGCTTTACAATAAAAAAAAGCAACAAATTGAAATATACTTTGATACCGCTCAAAAGTTAGCACAAGGATTTAAAGAATCTTCAATTAAACCGTTTAAAATATGGAAGTCCGATAAAAATTTTCTTATGGCAATTAATGAGCCTAAAGAATTAATTGCTATATTTGACACAAGAAATGTAGTGGTAAGTATTTAGAAGCTAAGATTTATAAAAATTTAGTTCAAACAAACTAATTACAATTTGCATTTTTAATTAGCTAAGTGTGTTTGCTTTTATTGATGATAAAACGAATTTATATGCACGAGATCCAGAAATACCGTTATTACAACGTTATAGTGGTACCACTCCGAACATTCAGCATTTCTTGTTCATTAAAGATACTGAAGAAATTTGTTTCGTTGAGAAAGGTGGACAAGCACGGATTTTCAACCTTGTAAATAAAAAATTTCGACCAACAGTTTGTAATCTTCCACCAAATACATCAAATGTTTTAAGTTCTCCGGACGGCTCCTGCATTGTAGCTTTCGCAAAAAAAACTACAATTGATGATGATCGGGAAATATGCCGAGCATATGTTTATTTTTGTACAAATTTTGGAAATTCCTCTATTAATAAAGGTCTTGTGATTTTATTTAAATTTATTTTACTAAATAAAAAGTGATGAACTATTAAAATTAATATGTTATTTTCTTTTTTTTATAGTCGTCAAATTGCCCCCAACTATTCAATCATTAGAATTCCTACAATTTATTTGTGTAAACAAGCAACAAACTCATTTAATGTCATTTAATTTAAAAAAAGGATGTTTAGTTTCGGCAATTGTTAAGATCACTCTCGAAAAAACTCAATATAGATTTCAAGAACGAATGCAAAGAGTAGTACGGGTAAAATTAGCAAATCCTTTTTACAATTATGCTTTAATTGAAGGAAAATATACCCAATTTGAGAAATATATTCAAAATGGTCAAAAAATTGAGATAATGGGAGAAAAATTCAATATAATCAAAGTAATTTCTGACACCGAATTAAAAGTTGCTGGGAATTTTAAGTCGACAAGTCGGTTTGATGGATGGATGGAATTTCAAATTGAACCTATTGAACCAAAAACGAAACTTAATAATCTTATCGATGTTTATAAATTGATGTTTGAAAAATACCCCATTGAAAATTGGATTGATTCTGAACAAAACAATCCTCTTAATCTAAAAATAGTTCTTGATATTGATGATGATGATATCGAAGAATACGGCGAGAAATTTGAATATTATATATACGAGAATTTAAGATATTCTACAAAAAAACTTGCGACAATATTAAAGAAATTTTCCGTATCATTTACTAAGTTCCAAGAACTTGTTGAAAATGTGAAATTTTTGAAAATATGTTCGTCAGATCATTCACCAGAATATAAATTAGATGAATGGATGATTAAACTTTGTTGTTTAATCCCTATAAAGATTGCAGTGACAAGAAATAATTTGTTTCAACCTCTTAATGATGAAATGAATGAAGTCGATTGGGTTGAATCTGATAATGGATATGGTCATTATGTAAATAGTATAGCAAAGAATATATCTTTTGGATTGTACGAAGGAATTTTAAAGCATTTTAGCGATAAAAAAGTAAAAGTTATTTCTAGTGTTGGTGAACAATCATGTGAAAAACTAAATCATCTTGTCGGAACTTCATTTAACGAGTCAGCAATGGTAAAACTTTACAATTGATTTTTATTCTTATCTGGTTAATAATTAAAATTAATTTTAATTTACAGCGTTGTACTGAAGGTGTATGGATGTCATTAGGTAAAAAATTATTCGCATTATTCAATTTTCTTTGCATTTTTTTATCTTAAATGTAAAATGGCTATTTTTTAATTATTTATAGTGAATACGAAGGAGTATATTTATGTCACACTTAACTTTGAAAATTTTAAACATCAGGAGATAAGTCCACAAGAAGGTAAATTTATACTTTTTTTTAAAAAAAAAAACTAATAAAATATCTAAATCTAAATCAAAAAGTTTTTTTTAGATTTACTTTTAACGATGTTTAATACAGCCGTATCAAATCTTATTCTCTTTAAGGTTAATAATTTACTTATTTCTTTTTTTTATATATATATTTTACTAAATATTAACTTTCGAAATAGAATCAATCAAGAGATATGTTGTCAATGGCTAAAAAATTTCAAGATGGTGCAAGATTATTTGAGACAGATTCAGAAATCCTTCAGGTACTTTCATTTTACAATTTTCGTATAAAATCGGTCAAATATACCATTGAAAAAGAAACTTTATACTTTTAGGCAAAACTTTGTATTATTTTAAAAGATGTTTCTAAAGCCGACGAGGAAGTTATTGTTAAAGAATTTAGATCAAAAATATCTCAATTAGTTTCGGAGGTAATAATATTTATTTTCGAAGATTTTATTTTTTGCACCTATTGATTTGTTAATATTTTTAGGAAGGAAAAGACAACTTTATTTCAAGAATGTACAAAGGAAGAATAGACATCGTTTCTTGGCCAAAGTTTGATGATGCTGGATGGTCTAAGACCTTATCCAATATTAGTAAAAAGTTAGTTAGACAAGAAGCCATACATGAGGATGCTAATAATTTCTTACAAAATATAAAAATAATCATGGCTAAGTTAAAGGTATTATATTTATTTATGACGTAAAATTATTAAAAAAATCAAGTTGATTTTTTATTTTTTAATTTTTAGATATGTGACTGGACTTCATTAGAAAAAACGTTCATACAAATTCGTGTTGCAACATTAACAAGGTTACTTCCAACCGCTGTTTCCTATGGTTTAGAGCAGGAAGATCCTATTATTGAACACCTTGTGGTAAAATACTTTTTACTTATATATACGAAACATTTAAACTTGATGAAATTCTCAATATATTTTATTTTATTATTTTAATAAGAATCGTGATTCTGGAGAACCAATTGATGATCAAATAGTCATCTTATCTGATATTTTAAGTGGCTACGAAGGATCTACCAAAATATTACCAGATTCTGAGATCCAACTATACGACGAACATGAGTCTTTTGAACGACTTTCTAAAGATTTAAGAAAGTATTTTGAATACATTGTACAATCACGAAAAGAATCATCGAACGATAAAGAATGGTTTGCTAACTTTGATAAATTCTTTAAATATATTATTGAACGTCGTACTTCACGTGTTCAAAATTGGTATATGCAAAATATTGCTAAATTTCCACAAGATAATAGTGATGTTGTTAATGGAAAGTATGCGATGGAGCAAGAATTAAGCAAGCTCACACTCCTATGGACCTTGTGTGGATTAATATGTCATCAATGTGGTTTGAAATGTGTCAAAAATCGGGATCACCAAGAAGATCATGACTGTTTAACCGATCACAAATGTCATTTTTTTTGTCACTTTACTGAAGCCCATAACGACAATTTAATCCCGAAATGCAGTCACAAAGCTGATCACGAAGGAAAACATGCTTGTGATAAAATAAGCCATTTATGTGGTAAACCATGTAGTCTTAATGACAAGCGTAATTGTCAAAAAGTTTGTTCAAAGGAAATTGGACATGATGACAGGGAACATTTATGTCAATCAACAATTCATTATTGTGGAGAAGATTGTTCATTGTCGACATATACTGAGAAAGGAGATTATAATTGCCCAAATAAATGTGTTAAACCAAGTGAAGAGCCTCATGAATCACACAGTTGCGAAAATAAGACTTGCCCAATTCAATGTCCAATTCCGAATTGCCAGAAAAAATGTAAAAGTAACAAACATTTTCATTCCTATGATGATTTAGAAGTTAGTCATTTTTGCGGGTACGTATTATGATGACTTTCTGGTTTTTTTTGTATATATGTATATATCGATATATTTTTATTTTAATCTATTATATACTTTAATAAGAAATGAACATCCGTGCCAAGAAAATTGCGAGGAAGATGGTATATGTAACATAGTAACTGAACCAAAGCGACAAATAGCATTTACAAAAGTACATATAAAAGTTTTGTTTTAAATTGATTCGATAAAAGTATATATGTATATTAACTTTGAATATAATTTATAAATTATTAATAGTGCATTCAGAAGGAAGAAAAATTAAGATGCAATAAAAAAATTCCTCCATATGAATTTGAACATACAGGAAAACACACGCATCAAGATAACGGGTTTCATTATTGCGATAAGAAATGTCCATTCTGTGAATATTACGTATGTATTTAACAAAATCTTATTATTTAATTTTATTATTATTTATTTTAAACTTTTTTTTAGTGTACATTACCTTATGGTCATACACAAAGTCATGACACGAAACATGGAAATATGATCATTGATGATGATAATGAGTTTGAATATACGAGGTATAATATTAGAAGAAAAATTATGAACATACTGAATATGTTATTCTTTTATTAAAATAAAATATAAATGTATTTAATCACTAGACGTAAATTGAAAGATCAACGATTTATTCTTTGCAATTTGGTAAAGTATTATATAAAAAAGAAAATTTTTTATGTTCTTATTAAACATTTGATTATGTTATGACAATAATTCTTTTCTTTATATTAGCGTTGTAAAGATTTAGGCAGACATCGCCATACTGATTATTGTAGGAATGAAGAAAGTAAAAATGAAGAAAGTTGTCAATCAGGAAATCAAAGACATGATATAAAACACGTTGATGGTAAATTATAAAATCTCTTCCTTTCCTTTTAAACGAAATTCATTATTTAATAATAATTAGAGCAAATTAACCTTGATAAACCGAAAGATTTCATCTCTCACAAAGCTTTATGGGAACGAACAGGCTTCAAAGGTAAACGTTAAATTATTTAGTTTATGTACTATGCTTGTATTTAATATAATTAATGTATTATTTAAAATTAGATCCTTATTCTGTTCAAGAACGAGAAGAGTTTACAAAGTGCTTCTATGTATGCTCCAATGAAATGCATCAAGGAGCAAATAATCCATCATATTGTGAATTGCCACTTTTTCACGCTCCTCTTGATCAAAATGACGACGGACATCGGTTTAATTGTGAACATCCAGAATAATTAAATAGTTTATTCGAATTTTGTCACGTAATATTTTTATAGATAGTTGATGATTACATGATTACATGCAGTATATAGTATATATTCTTTTTCTTTTCTTTTTTCTCTTTATCAGTGGACGATTGTTCTAGTGTCTATATATAAGTTCATAAAAATAGGCATTAAAGAATTATTTAATTTTCTAATAAAGACGTTGGAATTAGTGAAGAATTAATAGCTCACCATTATATTTTGAAGTTATTAAGACGTCCACGTTTAATTGATTCAGACAACATACCTAAGTTAAAAGAGATAACATTAAAAGATATTCATAAAAAATAATGATGTGTATTTATTTTAGGCGTGATGTGGAAATCAGAATGTAGGAGTAAGAAAATGTTGAAAATGTTAATAGAAGATGGTTTGAAGAGGTATAAAAGGAAATGCGCATATATCTGAAAAAATTTCCAGCAACACGATACATCGGTTCTTTCTAACGAGCTCAATAACATTTAGGCTCGAAAATAATGCGACACCTGAAGTAAGAAAAAAAGTATACGTACAACTGACTAGTCAAATACGGTCAATCGTACGCCACTAAAAATTACGTAACATTAATTCACCAAAACCGCATTAATCATTTTTTTTTATTAATTTTTGTCGAATTATCTATATTATTTGCTGTACTACGTCCAAAAGTTTATGCAAGAGTCTATCAAGAGTCTATAATCTGAAAGTTATATAAAATATATATTTATACTACAACATATATATTCAACTAGAAAATGTATACCACAAAAATACACAAGTATTTTAATCAAAAGTATACATTGTTTCAATAAAATCAACACAGGTTTGCCCTAAATTTTACAATTTCCCCAGTTTGGAATTTAGGCAAATTGAAAAGAAACTGGTGCCCCAGCTTGACCGTTATACTTTTGGCTTTAATCACTTTTCATACGAGTAAATTATCTAATGGACGGTAAAACCGTCGAGAAATCCAATAATTGAGTACTATTCATAAAACAAGCGGTAAAACAAATAAATAATTAATTTTGTTCTTAAATAAAATGTATATTTTATAAGTTAGGTCATACAAAAAATGAGGATTAACATTCTAGTAGTTGGCGTTAGGTATATAGTATAGCCAGCACTTTTAATTGTGAAATATAGTAACGTTGACAACGCCTTTCGTAGAACATCTTACATGCTGTTTGAACAGATTTGTTGAAACATGATATTAATTATTATTAATAATTTTCTTTTTTCTGGAGGAAACTTTATTTCTCCTTTCATGTTTGTAGGTATTAATTTATTTCTTCGGATATCTCCGAGTTTGAAAGGCATTGGTTCTATGGTAATATATTTTTAAAACTTGTCGATGCTTGTCATAAATGAGATTTTCTTCAATAGATAGGTACGAGCTTCCAAATAATGGTATGACTAAACATTTAAGATTTAAGAGTAAATGTAGTTTAGTGTTACGGGTACAGTGCGCAACATGTCTTTTACAAACCTTTTCTGTCTTAATGATATCGAATAAAGTGTCACCTTCGAATTTTTTTACTTCGAATTTATATCCCGAAACTTTCGTTTCAAGTCTTCCCAATTTCTCCAAACCACAAGTACATTCCTTCATTGAATTCTGATGACAGATCGATTATTGTATGTATATAAATGGATAAGATATAAATGGTAAACATCTTCACAAATATAATTACGTTATGACGTTGAGAATCTTTCCATCTATTTTCTTTGATTGGTTCAATTTTTTGTAAAATGTCACTGACATATGTGTTAGTCCATTCATCAAATGTAACATTATTAAAATTGAGAACCTTTTTCTTCTTAATCTGAATAATAAACATTTCTTAAAGTTCTGTATTCAAAAAAATGTATTAATTACAACCATAAAGTTGGTGATAAAGTTTAAGATATCGGACCTCAGCTGGTTTCAGGTTCATATCATATTCTTCTTGTTCCACATCTTTATCTGAGAGACTTTTTCCCCTTTTATGATCAATAGTGGTGAGTTCTTAGCGATATCCTTATGGAATTCCGCCACTGTAGCGGTATGTTCTTGCAAATTTTTTGACTGTATCAGAAAACAAGGGTTAGTGAATTTCAAAAAACATAAATAATTAATAAAAACGGTACCTTGATCTTAGCTAGTCGTATAGTCTCTTTGCTTTTTATTTGTGCCAGTTAAAGAGTTTATTTTCTTCAGATTCTTACAAAATTTCACAGCAATTCAAATTATAAAAATTATTCCATACATATGAGAAATATTATTTACGCATGGGATCTGTAGCGAACTAACAGTTCAACACCGCAGACACTAACAGTCCCGAATTGTGCTACAGCAGAAAGCTAAAGACATTCTTAAACTACAGCGAACTATCAGTTCAACTTTCAGACGATTAACAGTCCCGTAATGTGCTAATAGTTTACTTCCTCTAGTTTCGTGAACATATAATCGGCCTTCATTATTTTTTGTTGTCAATACTGAGGCTGAGCAGGCTGTGCATATTTGTCAGTGACTTTATTATAAGACATGAAAAAAATGCGAAACTATTATTTTTGTGCTATGAAAAAATGATTGTTTACATAAGATTACATGATTTTTTTTTAGTAAAAAATAACTTTTAGTTAGGAGTATTTAGATGAATTAAAACATTCAGTCTTAATATTCTTTATCCTAATACATAAAATGAATTTACTTTCACGCAATTTGATTTTTTTTTGATGCGTTACTAGTTTTTTATTAAATGGATTTATGTCGAAGAAAGGTACTTTCTTTAACGCCAGAGTTAGAATTAAAACATATAAGATTCACTATTCAACTGGAGGAAGATAATGGTGAAAGTAGTTCTAGAAATCAAGTGATTCAACAGAATGTCATTAAAATTACAAGTATATTCAATGAGTTAGAGCAATATCAACATAATGAAAGTTATAATAAATTTTATTTCACTAGGCATCATAAAAAGGAGCAGCTCTCACATGAAAAACTTGAGCAACTGGTAAAATCATTAGAATTGTCTATTGAACAGCCTTGGGCAAGTGATGATAAATGGATGGATTTTATTATTCAAGTATTGAAAATATTAAAAAAGTATATCATTTATTTACGAGAGGTTAATCAAAAAATGAATACAATACATAATAGTGATGTCTCAATAGAAGCATCTAATAGCTTCATTCCAAATATGGAGAACTCTCGGATTTTTTATTTGAAAAAGATTTTTTGATCCTGATAAATATATGTCACATGAGGTAATACATTACATCAAAAATTTGCAACTTAATGTTCAAGAAGTGACCATCGATCAGAAACAGAAAATGCGCGTGTAATAGCAGCAATTAATGAAAATTAACCAAAATATTAGACACATCAGATGCGCAAAAATGCTTTAAAAAAAGTGAGTTTTTTTATACAATGCATCACTAGTACTAGAATTAAATTTTATAATAGGCGAAACTAATGCAATTTCCTTCAGGTATTCTATTTATAAAAGGTTACACCAGCTGTACTTCGAACTTTATATTTTGACTTAACTGGTGATGCCTCTGCAATAAATAATGAAATTAGCAAAGAAATTGAAGAACGTTTACATATAATGATTCAACTTGAGGATCCATCAATTCTGCGCTCTAATAATGGATTTAAAGGAAAAAAGTTTGATGTTTTCTGGGATGAAATAGGAGCATATTTTAACGAAGTAGATATTTAAACTAAGTAAAATGTATTCTATTTAGATTTTTATTTAAATAAGCAAGTAAATATTTTTTATTTGCCTGTAGAATACACCTGCAGTTGATGATTGAAAGCAACAAGAAATTTTGTATATATGATCTTCGTGAAATTATTATGATGTACCATTACCATGCAGCATCAATAATCCATCTATTGAATGGATTCGCCTCCAATTTTGGCCAACTAATCCTGCTTCTACTCGAACAATGCGTTATACTAGTCAGTTCAATATTAAATATCAAATTCAAGCTAGACAATTACGTAAAGATCATCCAGATGCACACTATGATAAGCATAAAGTTCCAATCGGAGAATGTCTTTACTATATTGTCCCTTACTTCTTCAGTTATTTTTTTATTGATGTCCAACAAGGATTCTTTTTACCATGGAAATGTCTTTGTTTCATATAAAGATACTGTTTTTCAACCTAGCAATGCAATTAGACATGCAACTGGATTTTTCAATGCAATTCAAACACATTATATTTCAACTATGCCGCCTATTCTATAACTTTATGCTGACGGTGGTCCTGCATCGAACTACATTTGGTTCAGTTCAAATTTCTCTATTTGTTTATTTCTTCATGGTGATTTTGATATGCTTATTGCATTACGTACTGCGCCAGGGTGAAAATCCCGAAATCCAAAATCCCGACAGGCAGGTCAAAATCTTACGGAGCGACCTTCGGGCAGCATTAAAGCTTAATGTGGGACAATTTTTCGGATCTTGTACCTGTCGGGATTTTGAATGTCGGGACTTTGGATTTCGGGATTTTGAGTTTCGGGATAATTTGGAGTTTTATCCATATTATTAACTAAATATTCTACAGAAATCATGAGTTAGACATTTGTTCTATTATCAAAAATAATTTTAAATATATTTTTTCATGTTAGAAGAATATGATATTCCATTAGGTTTAACTTTTTCCTATAAATTCAACGAGAAATGAGAGATTAATTACAAATACGGTTAAATTTTTTTCTTTTATAAAAAACATACCGATTGTACTTTATTAGACATTGGTTCGCAATTTCGACTTTTGGACAGAGAATTTTATAAAATCTTGGATATACAAAAAAAAACTTTTTCTATAATATAGAGGTTCCAACTAAAAATTGATCGTTCATTAACGAAAAATAATAAAAGATGTGAAAGATGATAACCAAGGTGTACGTGATCGATAAAGTGCATAATACGAGATTAAAATCTTCATATGGACACGTGGAAAACTTTTACTAAACTCTTTTTTCAATTATTTTTCCTTCTTGCAAAGATCCCATACTCCTATATAGAAATTTGTAAGTTTACTTAAAGAATTTATTTTATATCATTAATAGAGGCTAGTGTTCTAAATCTGTCTGTGTAATCGTTAAAACTATCAGTGCGCTACAATAACTTTTAATATTTGAAGAAAAAGATTTAAAAAGATTTCAGTATTATTCGTTGTAATAAATGTGTTATGCTTCATATTCGGTGGAAAGTACACATGATTATTAGAAATAAAATAGTAGGAGTTTACAGGCATAAAATATGTGGAAGTGTTGGATCACTTGGAGGAGGATTGTTATTTGTCAGAGAGTTATTGCTGACGTTGTTATCTCTTGACATTGTTTCCTTATGGTAGACCTAAACCTTATTGTGAATCTGAATCTTGTTGTGAACCTGGGTCTTTTGTGGGCTTGGATCTTGCGAACTTGGACCTTTTTGTGGACCTGACATTTCTGTATTGCAATTAAAATGAAAGATTAAATCTAAGCAACTTCCCATGCTGCAATTGATATTACATTGTTTTAATTCATTTTCATATAGAGTAGAATTTATGCCGTTTATACAAGCATGATAGGCTACACAACATTTGTTAATATAATCTTTACAAGGACCGGGTAGTGGTGGCGGTGCTGAAGGTCCTGCCGATAGGTTATACAATTTATTTTTCAAATGTATTAAAATAAAAAAAAAATATTATTTATTGTAATTGAATTTAATATAAAAAAGAACCAATAAGTCTATCCATTTTTTCTTTCTTATACTTTCGTATTTCTCCCAATAATAACATCAATTTCCCTAAATTGTCACAGATACATATATAATTTTATTTTATTTATTCAAATACAAGTATCAAACTTATTAATCTTTTCTTCCTAAACTTCCGTAAGATATTTTAAGCCCTTTTATTATAATCTTTTTATCATCAATTATTTCCACTCCTCCTATTTCGCCAACTATTATTGCTTTATCAATATTTTCTTCTTTTCTATTTTAACCATTAAACCTTTGTTATTCTTTAAACTCCATAATCTTCCTTCTAGTTCTTTATTTAACTCATAAATTGATAATACCAAAAACCGTAACTTGACTATTTAACAATTCAACATATTCTCTTAATCTCTTTCTTACATTTTCAGAAATAACGATAATTGTTTAATATACCAATTTTTCCATTTTCTTCAATTACTTCATTTTTAAATGCATCTATTAACTCATTATTTCCATAATAATTTTTACATTGTCCAATAAAATGAATTATATCATCTTTTGATTTAAATTTGCTAACTATATCTATTCCCATATCACCGTTATATTACGTTAATCTGAAATAAAAATGGCTTAAACTCTATTTCCAATTGTATGTATTTTTATTTATTTATGTTCTACGTTTTAATTGCAATCTTTATTTCTAGCTCTTTGCCAATTAGCAAATATTTTATTTACTTATTACGATAAAATTCGGTACGACAAAGTGGGAGAAAATTCTTTTAATGTTCCTCAACTAGAACAGGAACGCTCACTTAGAAGAACCCTAACGTCATAGTCATAATTCAATTGTGCTTTTTCATTACCTTCTGCTTCAGCTTCTGATGTTGTTTACTTTATATTTTAAAAATTAAATTACACCGTCATCTGTTTATGAAGCTTGTCTAGTGTAATCAGGCATTAGAATTCTTTTTAAGCTATTCAACATTTGTATAACTGATAACGATAAATAATATACATACAGTAACTTTGTTAATCCAAATTTACTATTGATTTTATTAATTTTAGATACACATAAATTTGTTGTTAGTCTTGTCCCAAATTAATATTTATTATAAAAAATTTTATAGCGTTACTGAAAAGATTATAACCGAAGTAAATACAGTTTAAATTTTATTCTAGATCTGATTTCTCAAATATTCCCTATACTATGATATTAATTACCACTAGGAAACGGAAACCGTTGTAAGTCCGGAGCGAAAGATTTTGTACAAAAATCCAAATATCTTTAAAAATTCAATTTGTACAAAAAATCTGGCGTCCCTAAAAAAAATAAAAAATGAAACGTTAGAAACGTTTCTTTAAAGTCAAACAAATAAGAAAAGCCCCTCTTCACAATTTACCTTTAAAAGTCCGGCATATACAAAAAACCCGCGTCCCTAGAAATAATAATAAATGAAACGTTAGAAACGTTTCTTTAAAGCAAAACAAATAAAAAGACAACTTACCAGTCCAGTATATACAAGAAATCCAGAAACCCTAGAAAAAGAATAAGAAATAAATCAAAAACATTCCTTTGAAGTCAATTAAAAAAATATATACTCACTAGCCGAAACCAAACAAAAAAAGAGATTATCAGGTAATCATGTTTATCATAAACTTATTATGATTATTATTACACTTGTTTATTTTTGAAGTAGCACGAAATTTCAATGACACAATCTGTGCGGACCAATCAGAAATGACGCGTGTGGACAAACGGACATCGCCACGTGATCCAATATGTCATAAACATATATAGTCCTTCGCTTCGCTCCGGACAATAATGATATCTCTTATCTATTGAATATTATATTAAAAATTTGAAATCGTGTAACAATCTTTAATTGAATTTGAGATTTATTCGTAATTGAACGATCTAATGCAGTCTGATGCTTTCTCAGATAATTATTTAATATTTTTGAGGATTTATACTATAGAGCGGAGTAATATTTAAATATATAATTTTTTGTCGTAAAGGTTTTACTGCGTTAAACTGGTTTAAACCGGTTGATAACCGGTTAATTAAGCCCATTAAAATCCGGTTCGAGTGAAAAAAAATTTCTTTGTATTCTCAACGAAATAATGAATGCAGACATATTTTATTCAGATATTCAAATTGACTATGATAAAGATTTATGTGAATATATTCCTGGATTATATCGTTTATTAGAATTATGTAAAGATGACGGTTCAAATGGCCTTGGTATATTTTCTTTGTGTTACATATGAAATTAAACTATTAAAAAAATTAATCAATTTTAATTTTATTATAAACTTTATAACTTCCTTCATACAGTGAACAAAATAATTATTTCTAAGAATTTTTTAAGGAAACTATGTAATGATATGGTCCCGTTAAGTTTCAAGTCTATTTTTGACATTAATTTTACGAAATTGAATTCGATTTCACTTCGCCTTATCGGATGTTACGGAAATCATACCTTAATTGCAAAGCTTTTATTAAATAAAAATATTATAAACAAAAAAATGTATGTGAGTTTTATAAAATGTAGTTGGTTGTAATGTTGTAATTAATTGATTCTATTTTAATAGATATGATTTGCTTGTCGTCTCACAGCCTTCCATGGGCAAATCTTATTTACGTCCTGGTATTTACTTGTCATTAGTTAATCCAGGTTTAGGTTTAATTATTCATTGGCCTGAAATAGGATGTTATGAGGAAAATGCTTCTTCTCAACGTAAAAAAAATATGACTTATCTACATAGGTAATGTATCTGTTTTAATAGGAGTCTCGTTAAATATAACTCAGCTGATATAATTAATTTACATTCATCAATGCAATAGATATTTAACAAAGCTTACTGATCATCAGCTTTGTTTTATGAGCGATAAAGATTTGGAAAGTTTTGATTGGAATATGGAAGTTTCTGATATTGATTCAGATGATAATGATGATACATGTTATGATTTTGAAGTTAAAAAAAGGCAAGAAGAACAAGAAGATTTAGAAGATTTCAAAATTTATCCTGGATTTGAGGTATAAACATTTCAATTTTACGTATTGATATAAAACTTAAGTCAATTATTAAATGATTTTTACTATGAAGGTGAATTTACCTCACAATATCAAAGCTGAAATTAATAATCAAACGAAAGATGTTTCATTATCTCCAATAGGTATAACAAAATTTCTATTTAAGCTGAAAATATTTTTGATATCGAAATTCGTGATTACGGTAATAATTAAGGTGGCCAGCGTTTAAATTATTTCACGCCGTCATGGTTAATGCTGTGCCGCATCGTAATACCAATTTCGACGGCAACTATAATTGAGATCTTATTATTTAAAAAAATTTATTTTATTTTAGTTGTTGGGTCTACTACACATCAATCATTCATTACTCGACAATTGATAGATACAGCTTCACATACACATAAAATCACTTCACCTGTTTCTATAACTCAATTTCCAATTGATCTCAAAAATAAACTCAAAGATCATTATTTACATTTTGATCGTCATAAAATGAATATGTATGAATTGGAATTATTTGTCAATTATGGATTGGAAGTTGAAGGCGAATTTTTTAATCCATTGCATGAAGCATTGGCCACCGCTAAAGTACAACATGAAAAAAAGAAATATCAAAAAAAAAGTGCTATTGTTGAGGATATTGAAATCATGAAACAAATAGCATTGATGAAATTACATTCTTTTTATAGGTACAGTATCAAATAACATCATTTAATCACTTTTATAATCCATCTATTTATATAATTGATTTTTTACATAGTCATTTTGATATTTCTTTATCGCGAATAAATATAAGTGATACAGGTAAATATATTATTTAAGTGAATTATTTTCAATAAGAAAATTAACATGTATTTTCTAATGTTGAAATTTAATTATATATAGATTTAAACAGAATTCAAACAAAATATCCTGGGATAGAAACTCTAATTGAAGAAAAAGTTAAAATTAATTCAAAAAATTGGAAGAAGATGAAAAAAAGATATAATTTAGCATGTATTGTTGTTGAGAATATGAATACATTGGAAAAAACCAGTAAAGTAAAAGAAAATAATGATGGGTTGACAAAATCTATAAGCGAAACCTTTTATGATATATTTATTGATAAAGAATCTGATTTACATAAATTAATAGAAAAATATACACAACGGTCAGCTTTTCAAAATTCATCAAGTGCCTGCGACTTGTTTGATTATTATAATTTAAATAATTCGAAACTTAATAAAGCAAAACAAATGACCAAAGATATGGCAGATGCAGAATTTATTCAAAAACTTGTAAATTCTAAATTGTTTGAAGGATATGATGATATTAAAGAAAAAATTAATAGTACTTTTTTTGAAGAATACCATCAATGGAAAAAAAATGATTTTCCTGTTGAAATTCGAAGAATCTTCCCAGAATCTTTATTTATCAAACAATTAGAATGTAAATTAGAGAAAGAATATGTAGAAGAAAAACAAAGAATTGAGAAAAATGAATTTGAAAACATATGTAATAAATTGGAATGTAAATACAAAAATGGGTAAATATTAGTTAATTAAATGTTAATTAAATATAATTTAATAGAGCGAACTAACAAAATTTAACTGTAAAGGTCTATGCGGTTAAGCGTATTAAATGTAATAGGTAAATTAATTTATTTGCTTATAAATAAGTTAAATAAGTTCTAAAATTTATTATTCGAAAATAGAATCATTGAACTATTTCATAATTAATTATGAGATTGAAATGGCACAACCAAATCAAACGCAGATATCTATTTATGAAACATCGTTAGAACAAGCAGATACTCACCAACTTCAAGAAGATGAGCACGTTCCAAATCTAACTTTAACGTCTCATTATAGTGGGCAATATGGTACATCATTTCATCTTGATCCTCAAGTCTATGACTTTAGGTAAGAAGATTATTACCTTAATTTTAGTTTTAATATGAAAGGAAAAATCTAATAATATATTGGTTATAGGAAATTATTACAATTTGATAATCATAAATTCCTTCTTGTTTTATGGAACAAAAAAGCATCAAAAACTGAAATATTCTTTGATACTGCTCAGAAACTAGCACAAAATTTCAAACAATTTTATTCAAATAAGCCATTTAAGACATTAAATACGGATGAAAATTATTTTATAGCAGTGAATGAACCCACAGAATTAATTGCTATATTTGACACAAGAAGAGTGGTGGTAAGTTTTGAAGTTTTATTTTTTTATAATTCTAAATCTCATGAAATTAACTTCTATTTACATCTTTTTAATTAGTTAGACATTTTTTCTTTCAATGATGGTCAAGCAAATTTATACTCGCGAAATTCAAACATCCAGTTATTACAATGGTATAGTGGTACGGTTCCGGATATTCAATATTTCTTGTTTATTCAGGACACCGAGGATTTGTGTTTCGTTGAAAGAGGTGGTCGTGCACGTATATTCAACCTTATAAATCAGCAATTTCGACCGGCAGTTTGTAATCTTCCACCAAGTACAGCAAATGTTTTAAGTTCTCCAGATGGTTCTTGTATTGTAGCGTTTGTGAAAGAAAAAATAAAATTTGAAAACTCTACTAATGACGAAAATGAAAACGATGAGGAAGACAATTTAACCGATGATGAACAGAATTCTACTAATAGAGAAAGCGATCTTAAGGAGATATGCCGTGCATATGTTTATTTTTGTACAAATTTTGGAAGTTCAGTTAGTAAAGGTTTGCGATTAAATTTTAATATTCACTTATACAATGCTTTGAAATTATTAGATTAATATTTAATTATTTCTATTCTTATGTTTATAGTTATCGATTTACCGCCAACTATTCAATCCTTAGAATACTTACAATTCACTTGTATAAATAAACTACAAACCCACTTGATGTCATTGGATTTGGAAAATGGATGTTTTAATTCGATAATAGTAAAAATTACTGTAGAGAGAACTCAATATCGTTTCCAAGAACGCGTACAAAAACAATCGCTTGGACTAGTAAAAGTCTCTCACAAAAACTTTAAATATACTATTATTGAAGGAAAGAATACTCGCTTTGAGAAAATAGTTCAAAATGGAGAACATATTGTAATTTTGGGAGAAAAATATAGTGTTCTTGAAGTTCTTTCTGATACAGAGTTAAAAATTGATGGAAATTTTAAACAAAAAAATGGATTTGACAAATGGATGGAATTCCGTATTGAACCTAAAACAAAACTTAATGGTCTTATCGATGCTTACGGATTAATGTTTGAGAGATATACAGTGGAGAGTTGTATTGATACCGAACAGAACCGTCCTCTTAGTTTAAAAATAGTACTAGATGTCGATAATGATATTGAAAAATATGGCGAGAAGTTTGAAGACTATATTATTGAAATGTTCAAGAATTTAAAGCGTTCTACAAAAAAACCAACATCAATATTAGAGGAATTTACTACATCCGTAATCACATTTCAAAAACTTGATGTCGAAAATGCAAAATTTCAGAAGAAATTTTCAGCAAAATGTCAATTAGGAGAGTGGATCATTCAACTATGTTGTTTAATTCCTATCCAAATTGCTGTAGCAAGAAATAACTTGTTTCAGCCACTTAGAGATGGATTATCCTCGAATGATGATCATGTTGGACTTGACGATGATGGTGATGATGGTTATGGTCTCCATGTAGATGGTATAGCCAAGAATATTTCTTTTGGATGGTATGAAGGAATTTTCAAGCACTTTGGCGATAAAAAAGTTAAAGTTGTTTCTAGTATGGGTGAGCAATCATGCGGAAAATCGTTCATGCTAAATCATCTTGTCGGAACTACATTTGACGGTTCTGCAATGGTAAATTTTAATTATTATCAGATTAATGTTTCTCTTAAAAATTATTAAATTAAATTTAATTTTTAGCGTTGCACCGAAGGTGTATGGATGTCGTTAGGTAAATTTAGAGGTATTTATATATTTTAATTGAGAGCATAAATTAAACTTTTTTATCTTTCAGTAAATACAAAGAAATATATTTATGTTGCACTCGACTTTGAGGCTTTAACATGCCTCGAGAGAACTCCGCAAGAAGGTAATTATTTATATACATGTGTTTTTGAAATTTTCATTATAATAATAACTTCTTACATGTAAATACATATTAGATTTATTTTTGACACTCTTTAATACAGTTGTGTCAGATCTTATTCTTTTTAAGGTTATATCTAATTTTTTATTATGATATAATAATCATTAGTTCTTTATACATTTTGTTAACATAATTGAAAATTTAAAACAGAATCAATTTGCAGTAAATAGAGACATGTCGACAATGTTTCAAAGATTTCAAGGTGGTGCGACGCTGTTTGATTCAGAAATATTTCAGGTACAATATTGTTTAGACTTGAACCGTAAAAAAAATTTAGTTTATTAATATTTTTATTGATTATTTAGGCAAAACTTTGTATCATTATAAAAGATGTTCCTAGTGCTGACAAAGAAGACATTGTTAGAGAATTCAGGTTAAAATTTAGTCAATTGGTTTCGGAGGTATATTTATTACTATAATATTGTTTTTTGGGGGGAAGGTCATTTCATTCATTTTATTTTATTATAATGTTTTAGGAGGGTGAAGACAACTTTATTTCAAGAATGTACAAAGGGGGACTAGAAGTTATTCCTTGGCCAATGTTTAATGATGCATCATGGTTTAAAACCTTATCAAAAGTTAATAAGAAGTTGGAAAAGCGAGAAGCAAAATATGAAAATGCTAGGACTTTTTTGCAAATTACCAAAGTAATTATGGCTAAATTGAAGGTTTGTAAATTTTATATAACATCTAACGAAATAATAATAATATAAAAATTATTTATTTTAATATGTATACTTCAGATATGCGATTGGGGTTCATTGGACGAAAACCTTATACAGATTCGTGTTGCAACCCTAAAAAGATTACTTCCAACCGTTGTTGCTTATGGTTTGGAGCAGAAAGATTCTGTTAACGAACAACTTATGGTAACACGTTTTTGCTTGTATTGAATACATAAATTGAATTATTTATGTTATTCTTTTTTCAATAGGATCGCGATTCTGGAGAACCAATTGATGATCCAATAGTCATCTTATCTGATATTTTAAGTGACTACGAAGGATCTACTAAAATATTACCAGATTCTGATATTCAGTTATATGACGAACATGAGTCTTTCGAACGACTTTCTGAAGATTTAAGATGTTATTTTGAAGATTATGTACAACCACGAAAAGAATCATCGAATGATAGAGAGTGGTTTGCTAATTTTGAAAAATTCATTAGATATATTATTGAACGTCGCGTTTTGCGTGTTCAAAATTGGTATGTGAAAAATACTGCTAAATTTCCACAAGATAATAGTGGAAAGTATGCAATGGAGCAAGAATTAAGCAAGCTCACACTCCTATGGACCTTGTGTGGATTAACATGTCATCAATGTGGTTTGAAATGTGTCAAAAATCGGGATCACAAAGAAAATCATGACTGTTTAACCGATCATAAATGTCATTTTTTTTGTCACTTTATTGAAGCCCACAACGATAATTTAATCCCGAAATGCAGTCACAGAGCTGGACATGAAGGAAAACATGCTTGTGACAAAATAAGCCATTTATGTGGTAAACCATGTAGTCGTAATTGTCAAAAAGTTTGTTCGAAGGTAATTGGACATTATGACTGGGAACATTTATGTCAATCAACAATCCATTATTGTGGAAAAAATTGTTCATTATCAGCACATACACAGAAAGGAGTTTACCATTGTCCAAATAAGTGTATTAAACCATATGAAGAAGAACATGATTTGCATCGTTGTGAAAATACAATTTGTCCAATTCAATGCCCAATTCCCTATTGCAAGAAAAGGTGTCAAAGTGATGATCATTTTCATGCTTTATCCGACTTACAGGTTAATCATTTTTGTGGGTATGTATTATTATAATCTTTTTTCATTATCTTTAAATGTTATTAATTTAAAAATTTTTTTTTGATTAAAGCAATGAGCATCAATGTCGAGAGTATTGTGAAGAATATGGTATATGTCAAATAGTTACTGAACCTAAAAAGCAGGAAGAAACTTATAAGGGTTTAGACAAAGAAACTTCTATTACATTTACAAAGGTATTATAAACTTATTAAATGTATAATATAAAAATTTATTAATTCTTGTATAATCTATTGTAAATAGTATATTCAATTAAGTGAAAGATTAGAATGTAATAAAAAGATTCCTCCAAATGAATTTAAACATACCGGAAATCATACGCATAATGATAATGGATTTCATTATTGTGATACAAAATGTCCATTCTGCGAATATTATGTATGTATTAACAAAATTTTATATTTAATTGTTTAATTTCATTTATTGATAATTTTATAATAACTATAAAAAATTAGTGTACATTACCTTATGGACATGCACAAATTCATGATACAAGACATGGAAATATGACTCAAACTGAATTAGATAATGAATTTGATTATGCAGGGTATGATAAATTTTAATATTAAAGGAAATCTATTAAATACGATATAATTTTTTTAATTAAATATTCGTTAATTGTTAGCCATAGATTGAGAGTTGGTGATCAAGGAACGTTTGTTCTCTGCAATTTGGCAAGTATTACATAAAATTTCTATTTATTTATATTTCAGCTTATTTTTTTTAAATCAAAATAATTTGTCTTTTATATTAGCATTGTAAAAATTTAGGTAGACATCGCCATATTGATTATTGCAAAAACGAGAAAAATTGCAAATCAGGAAACCAAGGGCAAGATATACAACATATTAATGGTAATTATAACACACTTTTTTAGGTCGCTGTCTAATTATCTGTTATTTATTAACGATCTAATGAATTTTAGAAAAAGTGCAACCTAACCCCGAGAAACCGAAAGATTTTATATCTCACAAACTTTTCTGGGAGCGAACAGGTTTCAAAGGTGCATATTGAAAATATCTTTAATATCTATTAATTATTTTAATACGTGTATTTATAATTTATTAATTAATATATTTACTTGATATTAGATCCTACTGTTCAAGAACAAGAATTTACAAAATGTGATCATAAATGCCCCGATGAAAAGCATCATAAAACTCAAGGATCAAGTGCTCTTCTTCCAACTAATTCATTTTGCGAATTACAACTTTTCCATACTCCACTCAATCCAAGTTCAAACCCTCCAAACGGTTATGGGTATATATCTTTAGATGGACATCATTTTAATTGTGAAAATCCAAGTACACGTGGAGCTTAGGGTGTCACACGGACTAATTAATCAAAACTATGTTAGCGACATTGAATATTTTATTATGATCAGATTTTATACTATGTAAAGCTATAAAGTTTAATTAAATAGTCTATTGTTAATTTTTAATAATAAATATAATACAAGTTTCTAAAAGTTTCTCACAAATCTTGTGTTTGTTTTTCAACCTCCTTTCAGATGGAAAGTGTTCTTAAGAACTATCCAAAATAGTTACGTTCATTTTTTTTACAGCTTTTAAAAATGGTTCAATAGAAAGAATTTACACTAATCACAATTTCAAATATCTAAAATTTTATATGTTAAATAGAAATATTTGAACGTAATTTTGTTCTTAAGCTATTTATAGACTACTTGAAGGGTGAAATATTTTTAATTATGTCAATTATTTTAATAGACAAAATGCCAAGTGATTACACAAATGAATGATATTAATGATGAAGTGAAGATTAATAACTAGATGATTAATGACAATGAGATGGAGATTAATGAGATTAATGATGAAGTGGAGATTAATGACAACAAGGTGGAAATTAATGATGATGAGGTGAAGATTAATGAAAGATTAATGATGATAAAGTGGAAATTAATAGCAACTAATACACGCCGTCAAAAATTAATGAGGATTACCAGATAATCAATTAGAATCTGCAGTTCATTTACTTAGTACTATGCGATATTCTAAAGGGTCAAATGAGAGGGTAATTTGCTTTCACCTTTTTTACAAAATAAGGCTTTGAATTTTGTAAATTCTTCTCTCTACAAGTTTGTCAAGATCCAGGCTCATTAATTCGGGATAATAAAGCATTTCAAAAACAAATAACCTGATTAAAACATTCTAATGTTAAAAAAAGTCATAAAGTTAACCAACTAATAGGAACACTATCACAATATAAACGTAAAAAACAGCAATATTTCAAAAGTAAGTGCTGCAGCCCGCAAACCTTTATTAACTGATTCTCAAAGCTTGAAAGCAAGTATTCAAGCAATTATTATGAAAAATAAACATCATTATACAACAAATTTTATTAATATGGTTACGCAAGTATCACAAATCGGTCAAATGTCATTTCGGAATCTGTGCAATTAATCTTAGGTTTTCTAATTGGAGAAAGTACACCATTTCTAATCTCATCACAATCTATTATTTGATGGAATAAGGAAATTAGTGAAATTCATGTAAATCAAATTTTCAATCAAAATACTCTCAGAATTTTTTACTTTTGGAATAATGCTTGATGAGTCAACACGAGGTCAGCACAAGATATTTGTACTGTGTGTTATATTATGGAATTCAAAAAATAATAAGCCAGATTTTCAAGTATTAGAAATGAAAGACTTAGCAACTTGTACAGGAATATCAGTTGCTCAAGCAATTTATGATATCTTTGATCACTTTAAAGTAAATTCAGAACAATACTTTGTATGTATTTCTGATAATACAAATTATATGAGTGGCAAATCTGGTGGTGCAATCAGTGTGCAATCTCTTTATTTAATAAGCAGAGTGGTGCTAATTTATTCTGAATTCCATGCGGACTTCATGTTGCACACATAATAATGAATAATTTTGAAGAGGTTGCTTTTGAAAGTTGCCAAATGTTAGTGGATTTTCGTAAAAAGAACTCCCAGCAAATGGAAATTCTATATTTGTAGACGTTATAAAGAACAATTTAATTACCTATTAGATCAAGATGGCTTTATGAGTTAATATGTGCTGAACAATACTTAGAACGAAGAGATATTCATATACAATTTACAGAATGGTTATTATCTCGTCTTAAAGCCTGAAAGAAAACACCAAAAGCATATATTAATTATTTCAGAATTGGCTCCATAATCCAGTTCTAAATATTCAAATTAAGCTACTAGTTCGCTTTGGAAATGACTTTTACTATCCAATGGCCAAGTTTCTTACAGGATATGATTCTGAACTACAAATACCAGTTCAAAATTTTGTGCCAATAAATCTTCTTCCTGGTCGATGTGCACATCAAATGCCTGACTTCATATTAATACAACTATGAAACTTCGAAATATTGTTGAAGACCCGTATTCTTTTTTTGAATCAGAATAATTAGGAGGTACTGATTTGTTAAATGATTATCAAATGAATAAAATCAAATGAATAAAATTGAATGTGCTACTTAAAGTCCGTCATTAGAACTTCATCAAAGTGGTTTAATTGTTGGCTACATTTACCACTAAGTTTTTGCTGTTTAGGCGGAAACGAAGTTTTACTTGCATTGTTTTAAGGACACCTTTGTTATCAGTACCTTCACTACGAGAAATATGCCCTAAATCAGCTCTCCAATGTTTGAATTTATTAAAAATCGGGTCGAGTGATGAAAATCTTGAAGATAGTGAGCGAGAAGAAAAAGCAAACATGTTGTTTGAAAATTTATTTGGAAAATAATTTAATTTAAAAAATTTTTAAATTACATTAAAAAATTCAAATTTGTTAAAAATAAATAAAAGCAAACTTTGAAAATTTATTAAAATTTTACGTTAAAAAATTTGAAAATTTGAAATTTGAAAAAAATAATTATTGGTCATATGTGTAACATGAAAATCTGTTCATAATAAAATATTCAATATCGCTAACATAGTTTTGATTAATTAGTCTTGTATGGAGTATGGACCCTAAACGTGAAGCTGCTTTTAATATTATTTTTGTATTAGATCTATGAGTTCTAGTGATAGAAAGCCAATTCCAAACTTTCCAGTTTACGATGATTTAATAAAAAATCCATAATAACAAGACTGGGGCGGTTTATCAGGCGATAATAACAATAATATTATTAAATGTTTAATTGTTTTCACCAGTTTTATTAAGTAATTCTACTATTATTGAATTTTTAATGCCACATAAATTCCGCCAAAACTAGTCAAAATCAAGCGTCGCCAGCCATGCGTGGCGGTGTTTTATTAGTTCTGTTTAATGATAGCGTTATTATTCCGTTGAAAATCGAGATTTAACGGATCCTAAGGATTTGTTAAATATATTACTTCAACACCAAGCTAGTGGTGGAACGAATTCAACCTTGCTATTCAAACTACTTATTTTGATTTTTGACCATATACGAATATCATTATCTTTTTATCTGACGGGAAATGTGGATTTTTAATTTTGAAAAATAAAAATAAAGATATTTATAATTAAGACACATCTTTTTTTGTTACAATTTACAAATAATTAAATAATTATAAAGAATTCCTTTTGTAATTTATATCGCTCTTTAGTGTCCATTTTAAAATAAAGATAGATAATTAAAGACTCTTTTGCTTTTTCCACGCATATCATAATTACCTTTTATCTTATTAATTGATCTGATAAAATTATACACTTAATGCTGGGTGCAAATGATCGGTCAAAGTTAATGTGGACATACTTACTATTGCTTTTGTGGTTTTCTATTTTATATTTTTTAATATTTTGTATATTTCTTTATATTTCTTAATACATTTTACTTTAATTTATTTGTTTATTATTACTAAATTTACGTTATTCTTTGTCTGTAAATTTCTTACTATTAAAAATAGAATATAGGTAATTAATTTTAAAATAATTTTCTAGAAAATTCTCAAATTATCATCTTATACAAAAGTTAACTTTAAATTACAGTAATCTAAAAATTACGATCATAGCCTGCTGTATTCATATTTATTGGTTTAATTATTTATACAACTATAATAAGAGAAACATTTATTTAAGTACAACAAATAAAATCATCAATAACGTTGCATAAATCGGATTACTTGATATTGAAAATATATAAATATAAGCAAAATAAAATAAAACACTAACTAATTAGCTAATCATTTATATCTTTGTTATAATTTAAATTATAAAAGTATAATAAAGGAATCTATGATTCTTAATTTAATAACAAAAAACCAAGACTTTCATATCTCATCACACTAAATGATTGTTAGTGCCCGTTAAGTTTTCGGATTGATCCGCTTTTAATCTTTATGTCATTACATCATCTTTTTAATTCCTGGTTGCATATAAATTATAATTTCAGATTATGGCAAAGATACTTTTTTATTCATTTTATAATTTTCATGCACATTGCTTATTAATAATGAATTTTCAATTGTGAATTTATACATATATACATATATATTTTTTTTAAAAAAAAATCGATGATTTAATCCATAATGTCAAAAAAAAAAAATTAAAATATGAATTTATCAGGCGTAACTACCTTTTTTTTTTTTTTTTTTTTTTTTTTGTTTGAAATCCAGCCGATTTTGCACTCAAGTTACTGTCCATAGTTTCGTTTTTAAGTCTCTCATGATCTGAGATGTTTTAATACTATTTAGTATCTTTGTAAAAGAGAATCTTTTTTGATCATTCTACTATTTTTCAATTCTTCCACACCATTGTGATAGAAACAGTAATTCTTGTAATATGAATGGATCAATTTTTCTAAGAACGTAAGAATAAAAGTAATGATTCTCGTAGATTGATACATTTAACAATTTTATCACGTGGTAACTTAAATTCTTTGCAAAAAAAAGATCAACATGGCAATTTGATTTCGGCTTTTTTTACGTCCGTATTAAGTAAATAAAATAAAAATCACTGCAGTGTTACTGCATCGAAGTTAAAATTGGATTAACAGGTCCGATTATAAATTAAAAAAAAATTTTTTTTTTCTGGACCACAATTTGATAAAATCATGAATATAGATTCAAATGCTCAAATTAGATATGGTAATGACTTATCTGAATATATTCCCCGATTATATCGTTTGTTAGACTTATGCAAAGATGATTGTTTAAATCACCTTGGTAAATTTCTTACATTTATTTATAATATTGAATTTGAAAAAAATATTATTAAATGTCCCATATTGTTTTTTTTTAGCGGATAAAATAATTATTTCTAAGGATTCTTTAAAGAAACTATGTAACGATATTGTCCCATTAAGTTTCAAATCTATTTCTGAAATTGATTATATGAAATTGAACTCAACTTCATTTCGTCTCATTGGTTGTTATGGAAATCATATTTTAATCGCAAAACTTTTATTGAATGGAGCTATAATTAATCAACAATTGTGAGTGCATTATTTTTTGTGTTTATATCGATATGATAAGTAATTAATATATATATATTTTCAGATATGATTTGCTTATTGCTTCCGTATCAATTGACAATACAAATACTCCTTCATTACGTCCAGGAATTTACTTATTGATAGTGAATACTGATTTAGCTTTAGTCATTCATTGGCCCGAGATTGGATATTATGAAGAAAATTCTTCTTCCAAACTTAAAAAGAATATGATTAATTTACATAGGTATTGTTCCGTTCAAAAAATTTTTATTTATAAAAAAAAATAAAAAATTTCATACATCATTATTATAAATAGATATTTGACAAAGCTTACCGATCATCAACTTTGTTTTATGAGCGATAAAGACCTGGAAAATTTTGATTGGAATCATCCCAACTCGGACGATGATGATGACATATGTTATGAATTTGAGGTTAAAAAAAACCAAGAACGAGAAGACTTCAAAATCTATCCAGGCTTCGAGGTTTCGATTTACATGCTTTTTTATAATAATAGTTTTTTGTAAAATAACTAATTTATGAATCATCATATTAAGGTGAATTTATCTGATAAAATCAAAACCGAGATAAATAATAATATTCAAGATGATATACCTTTATATCCAATTGGTAATTAATTTATGCTAAAAAAGTGAAGTTAACTTCTTTAGGATTTAAAAATATTTTCCATCTAAATTATTATATTTAGTTGTGGGATCGGCCACAAACCAATCGTTTGTTACTCGACAATTGATAAAGGTAGCTTCTGAATTACGTTCGGCTGCGCCAATCTTTACTGCGTTTGAATTTCAACGAGAATTACAGACAAGATTAAAAGGACGAAAGTTACTTATTAATCGTGAAACAATGAACATGAAATCATTAGAGATTTTAATTAAACATGGATTAAAAATGGAAGATGAGCTTCTAAGCCCATCACGTAATGCGATTACAGCTGCGAAGATTAAATATGATAAAAGGAGGGACCAAGAAAAAGACGAAACAAATAAAGATATTGGGATAATTTCAAATTTGGCATGGAAAAAATTACGCGATAGTTATAGGTATTCATTTATCACTGTAATTTATTAGAGTATTGGTTAGTATTAACTTAATTTTTTATAGATCTTTTGAAGATTTTATGGGTCCAGAATCTTCCGAACATGAAAATATTATAAGTGATGAAGGTAATACATTTAAGATCCTGATCTCCCTAGACCACTAGACGATATGCAACTATTTATATAGTTTATTAATCAATTATGAATTTAGATTTAGAAAGAATTCGTAGAAAATATCCTGACATGGAAGCTCAAATTAATAAAAAGATTTTAATTAATTCCAGAGCTTGGAGTAAACTAAAGAAACGATATGCACTAACTTCGATAATTGTTATTGATATACTTAAAATGACTCAAAAAGCTGGGAAAAGCAATGAAGAGGCTATAATAAAGATTTTTTATAATTTGTTCGTAGATGAAGAAACTGATGCATATAAATTAGTAAAAAAACATACTGAGAAACCACAATCATCTGGTGTTTTTCCAGGGATCTCTAATTTAATTTCTTTTTCTAGTGTAAGAATTAATCATGCAGATGAGGAATCGACTAAAATATCCAGAACCTTGTCGGATATAAAATTTGTACAAGATCTTGTTAATTCACCGTTTTTTGGAAAGTTTAATGATCTCAAACAAAAAATCCTGGATGTTTTCTTTGAAGAATACCAAAATTGGAGAAAGAATACTTATCCTAGTAACATTAAGGAAATTTTGCCAAGAGTTTCTTTTAATAGACAATTAGCAGAAAGATTAACCAAAGAATTTGAACAAGAGAAACAAGAAATTGAGGATTTCGAATTTAACAGAATTTGTAATGTCATAGAAGAGAAATATCAAGATGGGTAAATAAGTCATAATTCATTAGTTATTAAATTGTTATTACCTTTATAAATTAATTATATAAAAAATTATGTAATATAGATCTATGCGACTAAATGTACGAAATATATCAGGTAATAATTTATCAACTTGAATATATATTAAGCACAGTGTATTTATTCTATTTATTTTCATTTTTACTATTATTAGCTTCTGAAAGTATGTTTTCAAATGGATATCGCTTCCATCATGAAATTGAAACAACTCAGCCAGATCAACTACAGATAACAATTTATGAAACATCGTTGGAACAGGCAGATACTCTTCAACTTCAAGAAGATGAATTACATGTTCCAAATCCAACTTTACCTTCTCATTATAGTTGTGGGCAATATGGTACATCATTTCATCTTGATCCTCAAGTCTATGACTTTAGGTAAGAAGATTAATACCTTAATTTTAGTTTTAATATGAAAGGAAAAATCTAATAATATATTTGTTATAGGAAAATATCCCAATTTGATAATCATAAATTCCTTCTTGTTTTATGGAACAAAAAAGCATCAAAAGCTGAAATATTTTTTGATACTGCTCAGAAACTAGCACAAAATTTCAAACAATCTTATTCAAATAGGTCATATAGGATATTAAATACGGATGAAAATTATTTTATTGCAGTAAATGAACCCAAAGAATTAATTGCTATATTTGACACAAGGAGGGCGGTGGTAAGTTTTGAAGTTTTTATTGTTTTATAATTCTAAATCTCATGAAATTAATTTCTATTTACATCTTTTTAAATTAGTTAAACATTTTATCTTTCAGTTATGGTCAAGCAAATTTATACCCGCGCAATTCAAACATCCAGTTATTACAATGGTATAGTGGTACGGTTCCGGATATTCAATATTTCTTGTTTATTAAGGACACCGAGGATCTGTGTTTCGTTGAAAAAAGTGGTCGTGCACGTATATTCAACCTTATAAATCAGCAATTTCGACCGGCAGTTTGTAATCTTCCACCAAGTACAGCAAATGTTTTAAGTTCTCCAGATGGTTCTTGTATTGTAGCGTTTGTGAAAGAAAAAATAAAAGTTGAAAACTCTACTAATGACGAGAATGAAAACGATGAGGAAGACAATTTAACCGATGATGAACAGAATTCTACTAATAGAGAAAGCGATCTTAAGGAGATATGCCGTGCATATGTTTATTTTTGTACAAATTTTGGAAGTTCAGTTAGTAAAGGTTTGCGATTAAATTTTAATATTCACTTATACAATGCTTTGAAATTATTAGATTAATATTTAATTATTTCTATTCTTATGTTTATAGTTATCGATTTACCGCCAACTATTCAATCCTTAGAATACTTACAATTCACTTGTATAAATAAACTACAAAACCACTTGATGTCATTGGATTTGGAAAATGGATGTTTTAATTCGATAATAGTAAAAATTACTGTAGAGAGAAATCAATATCGTTTCCAAGAACAATCAAAAGATATCAAACCTGTAATAAAGCCAAATATTCTTATTGATGCTTATGGATTAATGTTTGAGAAATATCCAATCGAAAATTGTATCGATTCCGAACAAAACTCCTCTCTTAGTTTAAAAATAGTTATTGATATTGATGAAAATAATGAAATTGAAAAATATGGCAAGAAATTTGAAGAATATATTACCAAAATATTTGAGAATTTAAAGCATTCTACAAAGAAACCCGCAGAAATACTAAAGAAATTTTCTACATCAGTTATTGCTTTTCAAGAACTTGATATTGAAAACACGAAATATCAGAAGGAATTTTCATCACAATATAATTTAGGAGAATGGATTATTCAACTTTGTTGCCTAATTCCTATACAAATAGCAAAAATGAGAAACAATTTATTTCAACCACTTAAAGATGGATTGTTATTAGATGAATCTGATCAGGTTGAACTTGATAATAATAGTTATAGTTTTTATTTGGATGGTATAGTTAAAAACATTTCTTTCGGATGGTATGAAGGAGTTTTCAAGTATTTTGGTAATAAAAAAATAAAAATTGTTTCAAGCATGGGTGAACAATCATGTGGAAAATCATTTATGTTAAATCATCTTATTGGAACTACATTTGATGCATCAGCAATGGTATATATCACCTTGTTTTTAGATAATAATGATCATCATCTTAATCAATTTATTAAAAAATTAATTTTAATTTTTACTAGAATTGCACTGAAGGTGTATGGATGTCATTAGGTAAAGTACAAATAATATTTTCCATTTTAATTGAATATAAATTAACTGATTCATTAAAAATATAGTAAATACAAAGGAATATATATATGTTGCATTTTACTTTGAAAGTTTAAAATCTTACAAAAGAACTCCGCAAGAAGGTACCTGCTTATACTTTTTAGTATTGTTCAATTTTGTATAATTATTAATAAGAATATTTATGATTTATTATCAGAGTTGTTTTTGATACTTTTTAATACACTTGTATCAAACCTTATTCTCTTTAAAGTTGAGGTAATTACTTTCTAATGATTTATTGTTTTTTATTGCTAGATTATTATCATGTTTATTAACATAAATCAATAACTTCAAAATAGAACCAATCTTATGTAAAAATAGATTCATTGTCAATGATGCAAAGGTTTCAAGATGGAGTTGTTTTATTTGAATCAGATTCAAAAATATCTCAGGTAAAAAGAATATGTATATTTTATATTTATTTTTATAGAATATTTCTAAATTAACAATTTTTTAGGCAAATCTTTGTATTATTATAAAAGATGTTCCAAAAACTAAAAGAGAATATACGATCAAAGAGTTAAAATCAAAAATTTCCCAATTGGTTTCAGAGGTACAACATATAAATTGTAAAATTAATGTTTATAATGATTAATTATTTTAATTATTGTTCTTATATTTTATTTTAATATTTTAGGAAGGCGAAGATAATTTTATTTCAAAAATGTATAAAGGAAAAGTAGATTGTATTCCTTGGCCAATTTTTAATAATGATGCATGGTTTAAAGCCTTATCAATTGTTAATAAAAAGTTAGAAAAGCAAGAAGTAAAATATGAAAATGCTATAACATTTTTACAGAATATAAAAGTAATTATGGCTAAATTAAAGGTTTGTAAACGTTGTCTATTAAAGAAAAGTTGAATATTTAGAATAAATAATAATTTTATGTTTTAAATTAGATATGTGACTGGGGTTCATTAGATGAAAGCCTCATACAGATTCGTATTGCCAGATTAGGAAGATTACTCCCAATTGCTATTTCTTATGGTTTAGAACAAAAAGATTCTGTTAGTAAACAACTTTTGGTAAGAAAAAGTTACTTTTATTTTATTTGAAAAATATAAATTTTATGAATCTTTTTGAATTAAAAAAAAAAATTTATTCCATTCAATAGGATCATGATACTGGAAAACCAATTGAAGATCCAACAGTTAACTTAACTGATATTTTAGACGATGTTGAATCTATTGAATTATTACCAGATGCCAATATTCATTTATATGATGAAAATGAATCTTTTGCCCAACTTTCTGAAGATTTAAGAGACCATTTTGAAGAGACAGTGCAATCACGAGAAGTAATGTCCGATGAAAACAAGTGGTTTGAAAATTATGCTAAATTCTTGAATTATATTGTTGAGCGTCGTATATCACGTGTTCGAAAATGGTATGCACAAAATACTGTTAAATTGCCACTAGATAATAGTAATGTCATCAATAGAAAAAACGATATGGAACAAAAACTTGATAAATTAACTCTATTATGGACCTTATGTGGATTAATATGCCATCAATGTCACTTAAAATGTATAAAAAATTTCAACCATGAAGATGATCATGATTGTTTAACAAATCATAAATGTAATTTTTCATGCCATTTTATCGAAGCTCACAACAAAAAATTAATTCAGAAATGTAATTATAAATCTGGGCATGAAGGCAAACACATGTGTAAAAGAATAAAGCATTTATGTAATGAACCATGTAATCTTATTGATAAGCGCAATTGTCAGAAAGTTTGTTCAAAAGAAATAGGACATCCTGATGGTGAACATTTATGTCAATCAACACGTCATTATTGTGAAGAAAATTGTTCATTATCAACACGTACCGTAAATGGAGATTATCATTGTCCAAATAAATGTATCAAACCATGTGAAGAACCCCACGATTCTCACCGTTGTGAAAGTGAAACTTGTCCAATTCAATGTTCTATTCCAAATTGTCAAAGAAAATGCCAAAGTAATGATCATTTTCATTCCTATTCTGGTTTCTTACAAGTTGATCATTTTTGTGGGTACGTATAGTTGCAATATTTTCGTTATCAGTTATATTTTTTTTCTATTTTATTTTAAATATTTATTATATTTAAAAGGAATGAACATCAATGTCATGAATTATGCGAAGATGATGGTGTATGTAAAGTGGTAATTGAACCTAAAAAGCAACCTCAAGGAACGCTTATAAAGGTATAATTTTAATGTATAAAGTTATGTAAGTATGATTAGTATGATAAATGTATTAACTCTTAAACTTTTATTAGTATGTTCAATTAAGTGAAAGATTAAGATGCAGTAAAAAAATTCCTCCAAATGAATCTAAACATATCGGAAAACATACACATAATGAAAATGAGTTTCATTTTTGTGAAGCACAATGTCAATTCTGTGGATATTTCGTATGTATATTTTGTAATAATTGTATTTAATTTATAATAAGAAATTTAAACTTAATGATTTTATAATTAGTGCACATTGCCTTATGGTCATAAACAACTTCATAATACAAAACACGGTATTGATGGTAATATGACACAAATTAAATTTTCTGAAGACAATGCATCGGAATATACAAGGTATTATATGTACAGTATATTGGACATTAAAATAAAGATTCGAACCTTAACTAACTTATTTTGTTATTTATGTTAAGTGTTGATAGTCAAGGAACATTTACTCTTTGTAATATGGTATATATTAATTTTGTTTACAAGGTCTTATTTATTTATTAAATTTTAATATGTAACTATTGTATATTTCATCTTTTTCGATATTAGCATTGTAAAAATTTAGGCAGACATCGTCACGTTGGTTATTGTCAAAATGAAGAAATTTGTAAATTAAGGAATGATAATGATAGACATGATTTAAAACATATTAATGGTAAGTTATATTCATTACCTTCTTCTCTTAGACGAAACTTTTATTAATGACTTAATAAAAATTATAGAACAAATTCAGCCTAATCCTGATAGACCAAAAGATTTCATTTCACATAAAATTTTCTGGAAAAGAACAGGTTTCAAAGGTATTTATAAAGTATTTATAAGAATTATAAATCTCTGGTTATATATTTACATATATAAATACATTCCATTTCTCTGTCTTTAATTTTATAGATCCTTATTCGTATCAAGAGAAACAAGATTTTACAGAATTCGATAATGATGAGCATACAATTACTTGTTTCAATCTAAAATGAATTATAATAAGTAGTTTTCTTTCTTTCAGGTCCTAAACTTTTAAACTTTTTATTAATTTCGCTAACAGTTTTAATCTTCAAATAACAACAAAAAAAGAAAACTATTTATTTATTTATTTATTTAGAATTCTTTTTTCTTTTTAAATCTAAAATAATTTTTTTTTGTTATTACAAATTATATATGAATGTTATCTTTAGTTCAATTTTTATAATTTTTATTAATAAACAAAAAAAATTACAAAATATTTACGATATCTATTAATTATTATTTTGCTAATATGTATAAATTATAACATGACATTAATTTGAATATAAATTAAACAGATAATAACAATAAGTTTATTAAATCATTTATATCTTATCTGAGAAAAACGTTTTCAATTATTAATTATTAAATAATTTTTTTTACATAATATTATATAACAAAAACTATTTTCATGAATAAACAATAATTTATTAATATATTTTATGAGTAAAAATGAGGCAATCGTTTCTTTTATTTATGATGTAAATTTTTATCAATTTTTTTTTTTTTGGAAAAATTATTTATAAGGTGCAAATTCGGTAAAAATCAAATCGAGTAGGATTAAGATTAAGACGAATCCATAATCACAATTATCTATATAATCTATAATAATAAATAAATAATATATGAATATAAGAATACCAATTTTTCGAAGTTTTATTTTCCTAATTTGTCTAGTAAAATCTAACCAAAAAAGAATATACTGGGCAAGTGTTTTGACGATCATTTAAAGACTACTCCATAGCAATTATCTTTTTTCGTACACTGTATTAAAGTACAAAGCCTACCAAATAGGCAGAAATCAGTAGCTAAATTAAGGATGTAAATGTTATTAAGAATAATTGATGTATTGAATTTCCTGAAAATTAATTGAGCGAAAAGTTAAGCTATAGTAAAAGTTTCTCTAAATAAACTTATTAATCGAAGAGCTGAATGTGAAAAGGATCTGCAGTTGCCTCTAGCATTAAATACAAGTTTATTCAGTTAATTATTCGTAAAGTATTTCCCTTATAATTATTGTACTGGTAGACTCGGGATAGTTTCTTATATAACTAACAATTAATTATTATTGATATTATTATTTCAACTAAATATTGTGTTTCTGTGAGGTGAATCTGAATATATGGTCCAGGAATCTACGATTCCTTCAACCCACAACGCGTCTACTACATCTAAAAATTTATTCCTAAGTTAACGTAAGTTGAGCAGATAAAATAACACTATAATTATTAAAAAGACTCTCAATTGTTTAATTATATATAACTTTTTTAATTTTAATGGAAAATCAAAAATTGCATATAAAACATACATAGTAAAAAAATTTTCATGTTGTACCGTACATTGTAAATACAACCGCAAGAATTTTTTGTGCATCTTTTCACTCTTGATCATCGTCATAAAGGATTCCCTTATTAGGATAAATGATGAAAATCTATAAATTTTCACATGTCATGTTCACATTATTTAGCCGATTGTTTTTTGTACTTGTACAAGATACAGCATCGTTTTATTGTTTAAAATTTTTCGTAACGTATCATGCGAATTCGTGATTCTGAAAAAGTTTCTAATGATTCTAATGGTGCATAAATATTTTTTTTTTTATTTGTATGCTTTTTAGTTCATAATTTTTCTTGTCTGCATTTCTAATAAAAGCAGCAATGGTCACAATGTACAATTAATTCGGATTATCCAAAATAACGCATGGTGCTTTCTTTAATATATTTGTTGTTTTTTTCCTTAGAGGTTCAAGAGGACACAAATAACTCTTTCAATCATGCCAAATTGCCAATTGCTAATCCTTTAATGACGTCTTCACAGCAAGCCAAATACAATGAGGTTTCAAGCGATTTGGCTGATGTCATTAGTGGACTGTATCGATTGTTGGACTTATGCAATGATGATGATATAAATGACGTTGGTAAGTTTAGTTGTAAATTAAATTGCTAGAACATTCTTAAAGTAATATTAATTTTTTTTTCATTATGTTTAAGTGGACAAAATAATTATTTCCAAGGAATATCTAGAGAAACTATGCAATGATATGGTCCCTTCAAGTTTCAAATCTATTTCTGAAATTAATTATACGAAATTGAATTCAATCTCATTTCGTCTTATTGGATGTTATGGAAATCGTAATTTAATCGCAAAGTTCTTGTTAAATAGGAACATAATTGATCAACAATTGTAAATACAACATCTTATTTTGTAATAATACTATTATATACGAAAATAATTAATCTAAGTTTTTATTACAGGTATGATTTGCTTACTGCTTCCATATCAATTAATGATACAAACAAACCTTCGTTACGTCCAGGAATTTACTTATTAGTAATGAAAGACAATTTGTGTTTACTTATTCACTGGCCCGAAATTGGATGCTATGAAAATGCTTCAAATCCTTCTTCCCAGATTAAAAGGAATATGGTTAATTTACATAGGTATTGTTTCTATTTTTTTTCGCATTAAAAATTCAGTGTTTTATAATTAATTTCTCATTTTTTTTTTTAGATACTTAACAAAACTTACAGATTATCAGATGTGTTTTATGAGCGATAAAGATTTAGAAAGCTTTGATCTAAATTTAGAGAATTCTGTTAATAACTCAGACGAAGATGATGAAACACAATTTGAGTTTGAAGTGAAAAAAGGCAAAGGAAAAGAAGATTTCAAAATTGACAACGGATTTAAGGTTTAATTTTTATTTCATATACTGTATATATAAAGCCAATAATTTATTTATTAGTTTTTTTTTATATAAAGATAAATTTGCCTAATAAAATCAAGAACGAAATTAATAATCAAATGGAAGATGAGGTCCCATTATATCCAATAGGTACAATATTATAAATCTACATTTACTTGAGCTGAGTTTACCTTATTATTAAACGTTAAATAAACCTATTTTATTCTTAGTTGTTGAATCTACTACAAATCAATCATTCGTCACTCGGCAACTGATAAAAAAAACTTGGGATTTAAAAAGGATTTCTTCATATATTTCTGCAAAACAGTTTCCAGATGTTCTTAAAACTAAATTGCAAGATCGTTATTTACTTATTGATCGTAATAGGATGGATATGAAAGCATTGGAATCATTTGTTAAACATGGATTAAAAATGGAAGAACCTTTAATTCCATTGTACGAAGAAATATCTGCTGCTAAAAAACGAAATGAAGAGCGTGAGATTCAGGAAAAAAATGCTATCGATAAAGATATCAAAATCATTCAACAAATAATAATGGCATCAACAAACCTACGTGCTTTTGAGAGGTGCGTTTATTAATTAATATTTACTTTTATATATTTATGTTATCATTAAATATGTTCCTCTTATATATGATGTATATAGTTATTTTGACAAATATACTATGCAAGATAATTCATTATCACAACCAAATATAAGCGATACGGGTAAATATAATATAAATAAACAATCATTAAAAAACATCAAATCTCACAGAGTCACAGTACATAGTATCTATTTGTGTAGATTTCGAAAGAATTCGAACAAAATATCCCGAAATAAAAAGTCAAATTGAAAAAAAGATTCAAATTAACTCAAAAGATTGGAAAAAAATGAAAAAAAGGTATAATTTAACATGTATCTTTATTGAAGATATACGGGAAAAAATCAACGAAGCTAGTGATGAAATGACAGAATATTTAGTAAAAACCTTTTTTAATATGTTCACTGATGACGAAACCGACTTAAAAAAATTGCTTGAAAAGTATACACAACAAATAAAATCAAATTTCAATTGAATACTTCGTGATTCTCCAATCAATAAGGCAATGCGATGGATTTTTGGTAATTCAAACATCAATGATTCAAACGTCAATAAAGCAAAACAAAAGACCAAAGCTAAGTCAGATGAAGAATTTATTCAAGAACTCGTTAAATTTGAATCATTTGAAGGATATGATGATATTAAAGAAAAGATTATTAATACTTTTATTAAAGAATACTATAAATGGAAAAAAGATGATTTACCTCAAGAAATTTTGAAAAGTACTCGGTATAATAAACAACTAAAAGATAAATTAAAGCGAATATATGAAGAGGAAAAAAAAAATATTGAAAAAAATATGTTTGACAAAATATGTAATGAAATAGATACTAAATATAAAGATGGGTGAGTTTTTTTTAGAAACTATTCTTTATTTATATTAACTAATAATTACACTTTTTGTAGCTCTATGCGATTAATTGTATTAAATGTAAAAAGTGATCTATTTTCTTATATTTACTTGAATATACTTAGCTTTTTAATGAATCAGGTTATAAAATAAATTTTTAATACTATAGAATCATTTGGTTACTTTATGGTTGAATATGATATTGAAGAGCTTCAATCAAAACAACTGCAGATAACTATTCATGAAACATCATTAAAAGAAGAAGATAAGTTTCAGATTCAAGAAAATGAGTCCCATATTCCATGTCCATGTCCAATTTTACTTTCTAACATGAATGAATATGGTATCTCATTTCGCATTGATCCTCAGAATTATGATTTTAAGTAAGATATTAATAAATTATAATTCAAAATTAAATCTTTTAAGAGTAATAATATCTAATATCATTTTTATAATTATAGAAAAATATCTCAATTCGATAACCATAAATTTCTTCTTATGCTTTACAATAAAAAAATGCAAAGAATCGAAATATTCTTTGATACTGCGCAACAATTGGCACAAAATTTTGAATCACATTCGACTATTAAACCATTTAAAATATTGAATACAGATGAAAATTTTATTATTGCAATTAATGAACCGAAGGGGTTGCTCGCAATATATAATACGGTAGAGGTTAAGGTATTTATTTGTTAAAAGTCACTAGTTTATTTAATTTTTTTAACGTAATTTATCTAAAACCACTTTTTAAAATATTATATATATATTGATAATAGCTTGCTGTATTTTCTTTTAACGATAATCGATCAAGATTATATGGATGTGGTACTATTAAATTATTGCAATGGTATAATAATAGTATACCGAACATTAAATATTTTCTATTCATCAAAGATACTGAGTACCTATGCTTTGTTGAGAATAGTGGACGAGCACGTGTTTTTAATCTCGCAAATCTACAATTCCGACCAGCAGTTTGTAATTTTCCTTATTATAATCTAGTAAATGTTTTAAGTTCTCCGGATGGTTCTTGTATTGTGGCATTTACGAAAGAAGCTGATTCGATTATTTCTACTGATAATAAAGAGCAACACGATAATGATGATATTAAGGAAATAAATCGTGCATATGTTTATTTTTTCGAAACTTTTGGAGGTCCTGTTAGTAAAGGTCTGCAACATTTAATATTAATATTGTAATTAAAATTTTATTTTTACAATATTAAGATTTATATTACAATTATTATATATATTTTTTATTCCAGTTGTTGATTTACCTTTAAGCTTTAAATCCTTGGAGTTTCTTCAAATTTCCTGTTTCAATAACCAACAAACTCATTTGATCACATTCGATTTACAGAATGGATGTTTGAAATCTTTATTAGTTAAAATTATTCTTGAAAAAGCTCAACTTCGTTTCCAAAAATGTATGCGAAAAAAATCACTTGCGTTTCAGAGAACAAATCCAAATGATCTTATCAATGCCTATAAATTAATGTTTGAAAAATATCCAATTGATAACTGTATCGATCCTAAGCAAAATCGTCCTCTTAGTTTGAAAATAGTTCTTGATATTGATGATGATGCTGAAGATTACGGCAAAAAATTTGAAGAATATATCACTAAAATGTTTGAAAATTTGAAACGTTCCACCAATAAACCCGCGTTAATGCTAAAAGAGTTTTCTTCATCAGTTATTACTTTCCAGGATCTTGATGTTGACAATGCGAATTTTCGGAAGAAATTTTCATCAGAATATCAATTAGGGGAATGGATTATTCAACTTTGTTGTTTAATTCCTATACAAATTGCTGTAACAAGAAACAATTTATTTCAGCCACTTAAAGATGGATTATCTTCGAATGAAAATTATCCAATTGAAGTTGAAGACGGTCATCATGTAGACATTATATCAAAAAACATATCTTTTGGTTGGTATGAAGGAATTTTCAGGCATTTTGGTAATAAAAAAGTAAAAGTTATTTCAAGCATGGGCGAACAATTATGTGGGAAATCATTTATGTTAAATCATCTTGTTGGAACTACATTTGATGGTTCGGTAATTGATATATGATATTCCTTTTAAATCTTTTGTTTATTATAAAAAAATTTAACTATGTAACTTTTCTTTAGCGTTATACCGAAGGCGTATGGATGTCATTAGGTAATCCTTAATATTTTCTACTGCATCAAAAATAAATTTGTTAACTTTTTATTTAATAGTAAACACACAAGAAAGTATCTATGTCGCGCTTGACTTTGAAGGATTAAAATCTTTTGAAAGAACTCCACAAGAAGGTATATATATTGCTACCTTACAATTTATCTTTTTGTTTATCAATTAATAACATGGTTTTTATTTTTAGATATGTTTTTAGCGCTTTTTAATACAATTGTCTCAAATCTTATTCTTTTTAAAGTAAATATATAATATATATATATATTGTACTATTACTGCTTTTGTTTTAGTGTTTTACATGTTTTATTAATATGAATAATAAATTATTTAATTCCAAAAAGAATCAATTTATCATAAATAGAGATATATCGACAATGTTTCAGAAATTTCAAGATTGCGCACAGTTATATGAATCGGATCCAAAGTTATTTCAGGTATCACGATTATAATTAATCATAATACGAAAAAAAACATTACCTATTAATAATTATTATCGATTTTTCAGGCAAGACTTTGTGTTATCATCAAAGACGTGCCTAAAGTAGATAAAGATGGTATCATTAGAGAGTTTCAATCAAAATTTGATCAATTAATCGCAGAGGTAATTAACATTTTCGTTTGTTTATTTTTTTTTTTATAAAAAAAACTAATTGAAAGTTTTAGGAAGGTGAAGATAATTTTATTACAAGAATGTATGGAGGTGGATTGGATATTATACCTTGGCCTGTTTTTGGTGAAATTGCATGGTTTAAAACCTTATCAATTATTAATAAAAAGTTAGAAAAGCAAAAAGTAAAATATGAAAATGCTATAACTTTCTTACAGAATATAAAAGTAATTATGGCTAAATTAAAGGTTTGTAACTTTGTTTAATGAAAAAAAAGTCGAATATTTTAATCAAAACAAAATAATAATTTATGTTTTAAACTTAGATATGTGACTGGAGTTCATTAGATGAAAGTCTCATACAGATACGTATTGCAACATTCAAAAGGTTACTTCCCATTGCTATCTCTTATGGTTTAGAACAAAAAGATTCTGTTACCAAACAACTTATGGTAATAAAAATTACTCCTATTTATGTTTGAAAAATATAAAATTTTATGAATCCTTTTAACCAAAAAAATTTTATTCCATTCAGGATCGGGATTCCGGAAAACCAATTGAAGATCCAACAATTAACTTCACTGACTATATGTTAAACGATGTTGAATCTATTGAATTATTACCAGATGCTGATATTCATTTATATGATGAAAATGAATCTTTTGCCCAACTTTCTGAAGATTTAAGAGATCACTTTGAAAAGATAGTACAATCACGAGAAGAAATGTCCGATGAAAACAAGTGGTTTGAAAATTATGCTAAATTCTCGAATTATATTGTTGAGCGTCGTATATCACGTGTTCGAAAATGGTACGCACAAAACACTGCTAAATTGCCACAAGATAATAGTAATGTCATCTATGGAAAATACGAAATGGAACAAAAACTTGATAAATTAACTCTATTATGGACTTTATGTGGATTAGCATGCCACCAATGTCACTTAAAATGCATGAAAAATTTCAACCATGAAGAAGATCATGATTGTTTAACAAATCATAAATGTAATTTTCCATGCCAATTTGTCGAAGTACACAACAAAAAATTAATTCCGAAATGTAGCCATAAAGCTGGACATGAAGGTAGACATATTTGTAGAAAAATAAAGCATTTATGTGGTGAGCCATGTAATCTTATTGATAAGCGCAATTGTCAGAAAGTTTGCTCAAAAGAAATAGGGCATCTTGATGGTGAACATTTATGTCAATCAACACGTCATTATTGCGGAGAAAATTGTTCATTATCAACAGTTACTGTAAATGGAGATTATCATTGTCCAAATAAATGTATTAAATCGCATGAAGAACATCATGAATTACACAGCTGTGAAATTGAGACTTGTCCAATTCAATGCCCAATTCCGTATTGCGAGAAAAGATGTCAAAGTGATCATTTTCATACTTTTTTTGACTTACATGTTGATCATTTTTGTGGGTATGTATTATTGTAATCTTCTTTTTCGTTATCATTTATATTTATTTATTTTATTTATAAATATTTAAATTTAAAAGGAATGAACATCAGTGTCATGAGTTATGCGAGGATGGTGGTGTATGTAAAATAGTAATTGAACCTAAAAAGCAACTTCAAGGAGCGTTTATAAAGGTATAATTTCAATGTATAAAGTTATTAATGATTACTAGTGTGGTAAATTTATTAACTCTTAAACTTTTAATTATAATTTTTTAAAATAGTACATTCAATTAAGTGAAAGATTAAGATGTAATAAGAAAATTCCTCCGAACAAATCTAAACATCTCGGTAAACATACACATAATGATAATGGATTTCATTTTTGTGAAGCACAATGTCACTTCTGTGGATATTTCGTATGTATAGAATATTTTTGTAATAAATTTATTTAATTTGTAATGATAAATTTAAATTTAATGATGTATAAATAGTGCATTTTACCTTATGGTCATGAACAATATGACCATAATACAAGACACGGTATTGATGTTAATACGAAAATTAAAGTTTTTGAAGACGATGCATCGGAATATACAAGGTACTGTATATTTTGGACATATTAAACTAAGATTTGAACCTTAACTGACTTTTTTTTTGTTATTTATATATTAAGTGTTGATGGTCAAGGAAAATTTACTCTTTGTAACTTGGTATATATAATTTTGTTTATAAGGTCTTATTTATTTATTAAATTTTAATATTATAATTTCGATATTAGCGGAATCATAGTAGACAGTATTGCCTTTTCTCCAGTTGAAATTTTTACTAGTGATACTAGTGACAACCAGTGACGGCCTCTTAGGTACACCTCCCTACCTCCCGACTGGAATAACACTATCTTTTATTAATGAGGAACAAATTCAATCTAATCCTGATAAGACGAGAACAGGCTTCAAAGGTAGTTATAGAGTATTTATGAAAAATTATAAATCTCTATTTATATGTAATAAATACATTCCCATTTCTCCCCATTTCTATAATTTCCTAGATCCTTATCCAGAAAAACAATGATAGGCATACAATTATTTGTCTCAATCTAAAATGAATTATATATATATATTAACCTTCTTTATTCAAACCCAAGTTTTCACTTAAATTAATTTCATTTGCGGCTTTAAATCTTTAAATATCAAAAAAAAAAAAAAAGGATGAGGCTTTTTTTATTTATTTAGAATTTTTTTATATTATTATACTATTTGCTGCTTATTTTGTATTGGTCTCATAGGAATTAGAAATTTGCTTTCTACATTTATACTTCAATGCTTTATAAGAGTAATCTATAAAATTTTTACTTAATTTACAAATTTCTTTCTTCTTCACTTTTCCTAATGGTTGAATTGTTTAACTTTTTTTCTACGCGTCCGCACAAAATGCAAGAATGACTCCGCTGCAAAACGGGGAATGCTTTCAAATTTCTTGATTTTGATTGGTCAGAAGAGTTTACAACACCATCCCCTCGTATACTAGTTAAACAAAAAAACTACGGTATAGATTTCGTATCATATACTTTACTAAAAATAACCAATTTTTTGAAATATTTTTATAGACCTAGATACAATGGCTTTCAAAACAATTGTGCAATTATTTTGTAAAATTTTTAAAATATATAAAGATATATTTGAGGTATTTTTGAGATTAAAATATTAAAATAATATCAAAGTTAATTATATTATAATAATAAAATAATAACAAAAATATTAAAAAATTATTGTGATATTATTATGAGTTATTTTTATAGACCTAGATACAATATAATTACAAAATAATAACAAAAATAAAATAAAACCATTTTGATGTATTAAATGTATTTATGTAGTATTTCAAAATTATTACAAAATCATTTCAAAAAATTGGCCATTTTTAGTAAAGTACGGTATTATTATTTAGAAGTAATTCATACACAATATTATTTAGTGTCAGTGTTATCGAGAGTTTAAGAAGACATAAACCAGTATATTTTTTGATATACTGTACACCCTTAAAATATTTATTTTTTTAGTAAACACGATTACTACAGTAATAATGAGATTTATGCTAAGTGATTTCTAAAAAACATTGTCATGAATGTAATTTGTTCAAACGATATGTTATTTGAAAGACAGAGAGAATAGTAAGTTATAAAGGGAACCTTTGTTTATCAACTTTGGTACTACTTAAATTACTTTTGCCTGTTCTGTATAACATAATGAAGTCAATCATCTATTTTATGAAAACATGGCAGGACAGCCAGGCGATGATTTTAAATGTTCAAGTAGTAGGGATCTTATCGTTTAGTATTCTCAGTCACTCAGTGGAATAATATCGTAAACGACGTCGTAAACATGTGTAGTCAACACGTCTAAGATTTAAACCAGTATAATCTATAATTTAAAATAATCAATATTATTTCAATTTGATAATCGTAAATTTCTTCCATGTTTCAGTTAAGAAAAAAAAAAAGCCTATTACATGTGACCGCAAATTTATTGTTTTGATTGGTCAGAAGGTTTTGATTGTAGACTTTTGATACCAACTTTATCGATTTATCATCTTATCGTGCACAAAATTCATCATCCAGCGTTATTGAGAGTTTTAAGAAAATATGAACCAGTATCGCTAAAGAGGAATTCTTGTTTATATATTGAACGATTATGATGCAATAAAAATTTTATAAGGATAATAAAATTTTGATTCTATGCAGAAAATTTTATTATGCTTCAATAAGTACAGATATAACTAAAATGCCACTAAAAATTTGATATTATCCAATATATTTATTTTGATTTTTCTGTTTTGATTCAATTAATTTACCAAATATTATATGAAAATCAACTTCCAAGTACAGTATATGTACTTAAGTGAAATAATCAATAATTGTTACTTGGATCTTCAGTTTATGTTATAGCAGCTGAATTGTGTAGGTTATCAACTCAAGAAAGAATTGTTTTAAAGTTATTCTAGCGTATATTCAAAGTGAATTTCATAATGGAATTTCACATATATTGTTATTTTTTGGAAGCGCTATTACTTGATATACTGTATTGTACACGTTATGTTATGAATTAAGCTTTATTAATGAGTTTCTAACATTTAAATATCACGGTAGAATCTATTATACGTTTAGAATAGTCTCCATATAAATAATTTGAATTGTGTAATGAAACGCCATGTGACTTGACGAATTTTATTATAAAGAAACGTTTACCTAAAATATTTCTTATGATCCTTTTCACTTTATAAATTTATTGAATTTATTGTTGGATTTTTTGTTTTTTGTTAAAATAAGCGAATAAATTATTCATTATTTTAGAAACTTAGTTAACAATAAATTTTCGTATTATTCATATAATTTAATACATTAATTGATAAAATGATAAATTTATAATGCATTAAATAGAAAGGTAACATTCAAAACTTGAGGTTCACCCAAAGTTGCAAAAAAATTTTCAATCAGGTATTTAATATAAAAAAAACGCGTTTTTTTATTTTCACAACTATAAAAAAAGGTGAAAAATAGATTAGTAGTACAAAGTCACATTACCGAAAATTGTAGTTGGTCATGTGCAAATTCGATTGGCTAATCCAAATTTTAAATATTTCTTTAAATTTTTTTTCGGTTCGTTTTTCTAATTTTCTTTTTTTTCGAATTGATCTTAATTTTTTGGTTCTTTGTTTTTAAAAACTTTCCATTTTATCGAACCAATCTTGTTTCCGAATTTTTTCAGTTCTTTTTTTCAAAATTTTTTGTTTCTTTCAAGCCATTTTTTTTTTTGGAAAAAAAATTTTCTCTTTTCTTTTTTCAGTTTGATTTTTTTTCCAAACCAAAAATTTTTTTCCCCCTTTCTTTTTTTAGTTGGTTTTTTTTAAACCGAATAAAATTTTTTTTTCATTCTTTCACCATTTAGGTTTGGTTCGGTGATTCAGATTAGCCTTTTTTTCCGTTTCTTTTTTTATTATTTAAATTTATAATTTTTAAATTATAATAAATATAATACATTTAATTAGTATAATTATTAATAATTATAATTATTAATACTAATAATATAATTTTGCTGTCATACTTCTTTCTATAAATATAATGTGTAATATTGTTAATACTAAATCCACATGGCAGCTGTATGTTGCTTTATCAAGAACTACTTCATATCAGTGTATCAAGGTACGTGACAATTATCAAAACTAAAATATTGTATATAAAGAAATCTTTCAAAGTATTTATTATATAGAATGTAAATATAATAATATAAACTGTAATTGTATTTATGTATTTCCCTCCATCTACACTATAAATGAATAAAACCCCATGTATATCTAATATACTCAGATATGGAAATTTTGTTACCGTAACTTGGTTGCAACGCAACAGGTTGTAAATCCATATTACTATCAGGAGTAAGAATGTTAGGTAGTACGTAATAAAACTTGAAAAACACAATTATGTTTACGAAGTCACGTGGATATGTGACGCCATTGACGTGACGTAACCTAACCATAAAGTACTTATCAGTTATTAGAATAAATGATGATCTTTCAAATTTTCACATGCATGCTCATATTAGTCTCATACTAGTCTCATATAGGGCAACATTTATCGTTTTATTACCGATACGAGTATCTTCTTTATCGTTTAGAAATTTTCGTAAAGTATCATGCAAATTCGTGGTTCTGGACAAGTTTCTAACGATTCTAATGGTACATAAATATTTTTTTTTTTTTATTTATTTATATATAAATTTTTCTTGTCTGCATCCTTTATAAAATTAACAATGATCACAATGTACAATTCATTCGAATTATTCAAAATAACATCACCTCTTTCTTCGATATATTTTTACTTTTTCGTTAGAGGTCCAGGAGGACACGAATGACTCTTCCGATCCTTTGACGACATATCTACAGCAAGCTAAATACAAAGAGGAGTCAAGCGATTTGACTAATTCTATTAGTGGATTGTATCGATTGTTGGACTTATGTAACGATGATGATTCAACCGGTATTGGTAAATTTAGTTGTAAAATCAATTGTTAAAATATCTTGTAAAGATTATTAATTCTTTTACTATTACTAAATTTCTTGAAGTGGACAAGATAATTATTTCCAAGGAATATTTAAAGAAACTATGCAATGATATGGTTCCATCGAGTTTCAAATCTATTTCTGAAATTAATTATACAGAATTGAACTCAATCTCATTTCGTCTTATTGGATGTTATGGAAATCGTAATTTAATAGCAAAACTCTTGTTAAATAAAAACATAATTGATCAACAATTGTAAATATGATAACATGTAATAATACTATAGTACGCAAAATAATTAATCCAAGTTTTTATTACAGGTATGATTCGTTTACATCTTCCGTATCAATTGATGATACGAACAAACCTTCGTTACGTCCGGGAATTTATTTATTAATAATGAAAGCCAATTTGGGTTTACTTATTTATTGGCCCGAGATTGGATGCTATGAAAATGTTCCGAATATTTCTTCCCAGATTAAAAGGAATATGATTAATTTACAAAGGTGCTGTTTATTTTTTTTTCTTACATTAAAAGTTTGGATTTTATCTTATTTTAGAATTTTTTATATTAGATACTTAACGAAACTTACAGATCATCAAATGTGTTTTATGAGCGACAAAGACTTAGAAGACTTTGATCTAAATTTAGAGAATCCTGATAATAACTCAGACGAAGATGACGAACCACAATGTGAGTTTGAAGTAAAAAAACGTCAAGAAAAAGAGGAGTTTAAAATTGATAACGGGTTTAAGGTTTTGTGTCATTTATAAATGTTCCCTATTTATTTAATTAAGCCAATAATCTTAATAAATTTATTATGTATAAAGGTGAATTTATCTCATAAAATCAAGACCGAAATTAATAATCAAATGGAAGATGATGTCCCATTATATCCACTAAGTACAATATTATAAAATCTATATTGACTTAAGCTGAGTTTATCTTACTAGTATTATTAAACGTTAAATAAAACTATTTTATTTTAGTTGTTGAATCTACTACAAACCAATCATTCGTCACTCGACAACTGATAAAGGAAACTTTACATTCAAATAATATCACTTCGTATGTTTCTGCAGAACAGTTTCCGATTGACCTCAAAACTAAATTGCAAGATCGTTATTTACATATTGATCGTGTTGAAATGGATATAAATGCATTGGAATTATTTGTCATACACGGATTAAAAATGGATGAACTTTTAATTCCACTGCATGACGCATTATCTGCTGCTAGAATGCGAATTAAAATGAGGACAGATCAAGCTATCTCTGAAGATATCAAAATCATTCAACAAGTAGCATCAAGAAAACTACGTGCTTTTGAAAGGTATTCTATAAATATTCGCTTTTAAACTTAATTTGCTATATATATTCATGTTGTTAAATATGTTTTTTCACATATATAGTCATTTTGATAAATATATTATGCATGATAATGATTTATCACAAACAAATATAAGCGGTATGATTAAAATATATTATTAAGTAAAATAAGCACAAAAAAAGCCATTAGTATTTATAATATATGCCTATTTGTATAGATTTCGAAAGAATTCGAAAAAGATATCCCGGAATAGAAACTCAAATCGAAGAAAAAATTAAAATCAACTCAAAAAAATGGAGAAAAATGAAAAAAAGATATAATTTAACATGTATCGTTATTGAGGATAAGTTGCATGAAGCAGAAGAAAACGACGATGAAAAGAAAAAATCAATAAAAACTTTTTATAAAATGTTCACTGATGATGAAACTAATTTAGAAAAATTGTTTGACAAATATACACCGGAAGCACAGCAATCAAAATCCAGATGGAATGCTATAATTGGTGTTTTTAAAATTTCGAATATCACTAGGGCAAAACGAATGGCCAATGAAAAGCCAGATGAAGAATTTATTCAAGAACTCGTAAAATTTAAATTATTTGAAGGATATAATGATATTAAAGAAAAAATTATAAATAATTTCATTAAAGAATATCATAGGTGGAAAAAAGATGATTTACCTAATAATTTTCATGAAATTCTGCTAAATATTCGAAACATACAATTAGAAGATAAATTAAAGCGAGAATATGAAGAAGAAAAGAAAATAATTGAGAAAAATATGTTTGAAAAAATATGTAATGAAATAGAAACTAAATATAAAGATGGGTGAGTTTTTTTTTTTGAACCTATTCCTGATTTATATTAACTAATAAATAATTACGATTTTGTAGTTCTATGCGATTAATTGTATTAAGTGTAAAAAGTAAATTATTTATTTATTTTTTTTTAAATATTTTTAGTGAACCAGGTCTTATAATAATTTTTTCTTTTCTGAAAATATAGAACAATATATGTATTTCACAATTGAATATGATATTGAGGAGCCTCAACCAAACCAACTGCAGATAACTTTTTATGAAACATCGTTAAAAGAAGAAGAAGGGCTTCATGTTCAAGAAAATGAGTCATATGTTCCATATCCAATTTTATGTTCTAATATGAACCAATATGGTATTTCATTTCGCATTGATCCTCAAGAATACGATATTAAGTAAGAATATTGATAATTTTTTGTGACTTAAAATCTTTTTACTGTAGGAGAATAAAATTTAATATATTTTTTAAAATTACAGAAAAATATCTCAATTCGATAACCATAAATTTCTTCTTATTCTTTACAATAAAAAAATGCGAAGAATTGAAATATTCTTTGACACTGCGCAACAAATGGCACAAAATTTTAAATCGCATTCGACTATTAAATCGTTTAAAATATTGAATACAGATGAAAATTTTATTATTGCAATTAATGAACCAAAAGGGTTGCTCGCTATATATAATACAAAAGAAGTTAAGGTATTTAATAAAGATGCCTGGTTTTATTCATTTTTTTGACGCAATTTTTTGTCTAAAATCCTTTTTTTTTTTTTCTTTTGAAAAAAAACATAATATCAGCTTGATATATTTTCTTTTTATGATAATCGATCAAGGTTATATGCGCGCAATGCAAATATTCAATTATTGCAATGGTATAATAATATTATACCGAACATTAAATATTTTCTATTCATCAAAGATACTGAGGAACTGTGCTTTGTTGAGAATAGTGGAAGAGCACGTATTTTTAATCTTATGAATTTACAATTTCGACCAGCATTTTGTAATTTTCCACGTAATTTAGTAAATGTTTTAAGTTCTACCGATGGTTCTTGTATTATGGCATTTGCAAAAGAAAAACCTGATGAATTCAATTCAATTATTTCCACTGATAATATTGAGCAACGCGACTATAATAATGATATTAAGGAAATAAATCGTGTTTACGTTTATTTTTCCAAAAATTTTGTTTCTGCTGGTAAAGGTAATTTAAAATTTTATTTTTATTATTATTAGAATTTTATATTGTAATCATTAATATTTACTTTTTCATTTTCAGTTATTGATTTGCCATTAAACTTTAAATCCTTGGAATTTCTTCAAATTTCTTGTATCAATAATCGACAAACTCATTTGATCTCGCTCGATTTACAGAATGGGCGTTTGAATTCTTTATTAGTCAAAATTACTCTTGAACAAGCTCAATTTCGTTTCCAAAAATGCATGCAAAAAAAGTCACTTGCGTCTCAGAGAACAAAACTAAATGATCTTGTTAATGTCTATAAACTAATGTTTGAAAAATATCCAATTGATAGCTGTATCGATCCTAAACAAAATCGTCCTCTTAGTTTAAAAATAGTTCTTGACATTGAAGATAATAATATTGAAGATTACGGCGAAAAATTTAATGAATATATCACCGGAATGTTCGATAACTTGAAGTATTATACAAATAAACCTACATCAATGTTAAAAAAGTTTTCTGCATCAGTTATTACTTTCAAGGAACTTGATGTTGAAGATACGAATTTTCAGAAGAAATTTTCATCAGAATATCAATTAGGAGAGTGGATTATTCAACTTTGTTGTCTAATTCCTATACAAATTGCTATAACAAGAAATAATTTATTTCAGCCACTTAAAGATGGATTATCTTCGAATGAAAATTATCTAATAGAACTTAAAGATGGTCATCATCTAGATATTATATCAAAAAACATATCTTTTGGGTGGTATGAAGGAATTTTCAAGCATTTTGGTAGCAAAAAAGTAAAAGTTGTTTCAAGCATGGGCGAACAATCATGTGGAAAATCATTTATGTTAAACCACCTCGTTGGAACTACATTTGATGGATCAGCAATGGTATAATTATTTATTTATATCTTTAGTCTTTTGGTTAATTCTGAAGAAGTTAACTAACTTGTCTTTAGCACTGTACCGAAGGCGTATGGATGTCATTAGGTAATTTTTAATATTCTTTGCTGCATTAAAAAATTTTATTAACTTTCTTTATTCAATAGTAAATACACAAGAATATATCTATGTTGCGCTCGACTTTGAAGGATTAAAATCTCTTGAAAGAACTCCACAAGAGGGTATATACCGTATATATATCTTACAATTTATCTTTTTTATTTATCAATTAATAAACATTTTTTTTCTTTAGATATGTTTTTAGCACTCTTTAATACAGTTGTCTCAAATCTTATTCTTTTAAAGTAAATATTTCCTGTTTTACTGTCCTACTTATGTTTTACATGTTACTAATACGAATAATAAATTATTTAATTCCAAAAGAATCAATTTACCATAAATAGAGATATATCAACGATGTTTCAAAAATTTCAAGATGGCGCAAAGTTATTTGAGTCTGATCCAAAGATATTTCAGGTAAATTCATTATTACAAACAAATCTTTAAACTATAATATTAAGTAATCATTGTTTATTAATCATTGTTAATTTTCAGGCAAGACTTTGTGTTATCATTAAAGACGTGCCTAAAGTAGATAGAGATGATATTATTAGAGTGTTTCAATCAAAATTTGATCGATTAGTTTCAGAGGTAATTGAAAATTTTTGTTAGTTTATTTATTTAAAAAAACACTAAGAATTGAATGTTTTAGGAAGGTGAAGATAATTTTATTACAAAAATGTATGGAAGTGGATTGGATATTATACCTTGGCCTGTTTTTGGTGATATTGCATGGTTTAAAAAGTTATCATTTGTTAACAAAAAGTTAGAAAAGCAAAAAGTAAAATATGAAAATGCTATAACTTTCTTACAAGATATAAAAGTAATTATGGCTAAATTAAAGGTTTGTATATATTATTTAGTGAAATGCAACTAAATATTCTAGTTAAAAAAGAAAAAATAATTTTATGTTTGAATGTAGATATGTGACTGGGACTCATTAGATGAAAGCCTCATACAGATTCGTATTGCAACATTAAAAAAGTTACTCCCAACTGCTATTTCTTATGGTTTAGAACGAAAAGATTCTGTCACTAAACTTCTTTTGGTAAAAAAAAAAATGATTCTTTTATTTATATTTAAATATATAGGTTTTTATGAAACTTTCTAAATTTTTTTCATTCAATAGGATCATGATACTGGAAAACCAATTGAAGATCCAAAAACTGACTTATCTGATATTTTAAACAATTTTGATTCTACTGAATTATTACCAGATGCCAATATTCATTTATATGATGAATATGTGTCATTTGTCCAACTTTCTGAAGATTTAAGAGAATATTTTGATGAAATAGTGCAGTCACAAGAAGAAACGTCCGATGAAATCAAGTGGTATGAAAATTTTGGTAAATTCTTAAATTATATAATTGAGCGTCGGATATCACGTGTTCGAAAATGGTATGCACAAAATACTGCTAAATTGCCACAAGATAATAGTAATGTCATCAATGGAAAATATGAAATGGAACAAAAACTTGATAAATTAGCTCTATTATGGACCTTATGTGGATTAACATGCCAACAATGTCATTTAAAATGCATAAAAAATTTCAACCATGAAGATGATCATGATTGTTTAACAAATCATAAATGTAATTTTCCATGCCAATTTGTCGAAGCACACAACAAAAAACTAATTCCTAAATGTATTCATAAGGCTGGACATGAAGGCAAACACATTTGTAAAAAAATAAAGCATTTATGTAATGAACCATGTGATCTAATTGGTAAGCGTAATTGTCAGGAAGTTTGCTCAAAAGAAATAGGACACCCTGATGGCAAGCATTTATGCCAATCAACACGGCATTATTGTGGAGTAAGTTGCTCATTATCAACCCATACCGTAAAGGGAGATTATCGTTGTCCAAATAAATGCATCAAATCGTATGAAAAACCTCATAGCTCTCACCGTTGTGAAAATGGAACTTGTCCAATTCAATGTTCTATTCTAAATTGCCAAAGGAAATGTCAAAGCAATGATCACTTTCATTCCTATTCTGGCTTTTTATATGTTGACCATTTTTGTGGGTACGTATTGTTGTGATCTACTTTACGTTATCAGTTATACTTATTTTGTTTGTTAAATTTTTAATAATTGAAAGGAATGAACATCATTGTCATGAATTATGCGAAGACGATGGTATATGTAAAGTAGTAATTGAACCGAAAAAACAACTTCAAGAACCGTTTACAAAGGTATAATCTAATATACTGTATAACATTATTGAATATAAATAGTATGACAAAATGTATTAACTCCTAACTTATGATTAGTATATTCAATTAAGTGAAAGATTAAGATGTAGTAAAAAAATTCCTCCGAATGAATCTAAACATATCGGAAAACATACACATAATGAAAATGGGTTTCATTTTTGTGAAGCACAATGTCAATTCTGTGGATATTTTGTATGAATAGTATATTTTCTTAAAAATTTTATTTAATTTATAAATAAAAATTTAAATTTAATGATTTATAATTAGTGTACATTACCTTATGGTCATGAACAACTTCATAATACAAGACACGGTTTTGATAGTAATATGATGCAAATTAAATTTTCCGAAGACGATGAAGACAATATATCGGAATACACAAGGTATTGTATATATTAGGCATATTAAACTAAGATTTGAACCTTAACTAACTTATGATATTATAATTTTATATATTAAGAGTTGATGGGCAGAGGAAATTTACTCTTTGTAACATGGTATATATTAATTTTGTTTACAAGTGCTTATTTAGTTATTAAAATTCTATCAATTTTTTTTTTCGATATTATTAGCATTGTAAAAATTTAGGTAGGCATCGTCACATTGATTATTGTCAAGACGAAGTAATATGTAAATCGGAAAATCAAAGACATGATATAAAACATATTGATGGTAAGTTATACCTATTATTTTTTTCTATTAAACGATATTTTTCATTAATGACAATAAAAATTATAGAACAAATTCAACCTAATCCCGATAGACCAAAAGATTTTATTTCTCATAAACTTTTCTGGGAGAGAACAGGCTTCAAAGGTATTTATAAAGTATTTATAAAAATTATAAATCTTTGTTTACATATAATAAGTACATTCCCATTTCTCTAATTTCCTAGATCCTTATCCAGAGCAACAAGATTTTGCAGAATTTGATAACGATAGACATACAATTACTTGTCTCAATTTAAAATGAACTATAAATGAATACCAAGTTTTCGTCTAAATTAATTTTATTAGCTTTTAATTTCAAAAAAAAGAAGAAAAAGACTTTTTAATTCATTTTGTATTTTTATGAATTGATTTACTATGTTATTATTACACTATTTCAGGAAGCAGACTGTATTATATTCTGTATTGGCCCCATAAGAATTAGAAATTTGATATTTATTTATACGCACGAATGATATTTCTGTTAGTTCTATGCCAATATGTATCTTTTTTTTAATAAATTTTTTCCTTTATTTTTTTGTTTTTAAAAAAAAAGGTTTGAATTTTCTACGCATTCAGTACTTACAGTATAGTAAGAGAATTGAATTAATTAACTATGCCGATGATCCCATCCGCTTATAGTAGATTATTTCGACCGATCGTTCCCCGAGAGAACCGTTTTTGCTAAGAAAATTTTATTTATACATGCGAAAAATAATTACAAATTGTCGGCATTTCAGGTGATCGATCTACCAAGCCTCTCACATGACCGGAAAGTGAAATGGCGTTTCTGTATAATGCCCGCCAGTTTATTACTTGTCTAAACTATACGCAATCTTTTGAAATCTGAACCGACTCATGGCGTAGTAATAATGTGATCACTGGTTGTGATTATCGATATAAAACTACATTAGTAATTTTTTTTAAAAAAAAAAATAGTAACGCGTTTATTAATTAAGCAACAAAATACATTTGATTACATAATTTTAAACACCCAGAAAATATAAATTATAATACCCTCTATAACTAAGTTCAATCTAGTCTAAATTTCTAAATAAAAATTATATAATCTATTCTATTACCCTATGAAAAAAAATTTCTTTAAAATATACTTAAAATGTACTTATATATTTTTAAAATATACCTAAAATATACTTAACATTTTTAAAATATACTTAAAATATACTTAAAATTGCAATTTTAAGTATATTTAAAGTATAAAATTTTGCACTTAAATTATACTTAAATTATATTTAAATTGCAACTAAGTATATTTTAAATGTAATTTAAGTATAAAATTTTATACTTTAAATATACTTAAAATTGCAATTTTAAGTATATTATAAGTACATTTAAAAATTTTAAGTACATTTTAGGTATATTTTAAAATATATAAGTATATTTTAAGTATATTTTAAAAAAATACATAAGTATATTTTAAGTACATTTTAAAGAATTTTTTTTTTATAGGGTTAACTAAACTAATTTCACTATAGTATGCCAATTTTTCTTGATCGAGATCCCTTCTGTGATTGTACCTATCATTCTATCTTTCGTTACTAATTTAAGTTTTTTATTAAAATTTCTTTTTTTTATTTTTCCTTTTCATCTGTTTTTTTATTTTTATTATTACTTTCTATTTCTATTCCATCATCATCGTCCTTCGTTGGTGATTCTTTCCTTTTCCTCAAATCTCTTTTTTCCAAACCCCGCTCTTTTTCTAATTCTGCAACTACCTCACACCTTTTTAACCAGATTTTTTACCTAATATTCTCGTAACAAAAATTCCATAAATTTAAATAACTCTCTTTTTTTCTTTTTCTTTCGCAATTTTATTAAACTTCTCATTATATACTCCACGTAGTAATTCCCAAAACCTTTTCTTCCCAATTAAAACTTGTGATTGTTGATCCATCACTCTAATAAATCAAAAATAATTTCTCTCAAAATCGTTATCTCTTCCCCATTACCTTCTTTTTGTAATTTTAATTCAAACTCGTAAATTGACTTTCTTATAAGTTCATCTATCTCAAACTCATTAGCTTCGCAAACCCAAATATGTTCCCAATCTTCAATATCTTCGTTACATCTAGGACACATATCATCAATTATTCCATTTACTTTCCTCTTATACAAAATACTATACGTTAGCAACTGTTTTAAAGATTTTTAATCTTATGTGATCGATCTTTGGTATCTTCAAAACTGCATTGATAAAACGAAAAATTACTTCGATTACTTATAAATTGTAATGTCGTTGACCAATCGAATTCAAATTTGTGATTATACAGTCCCCGGCGAAAAGAATGGCGGTGGGAATATTACTTCTTTTTTGGACTGTAACATGGCCATTTTCCCGATTTGGAATTTATTAATTGTTTCCAAATTGGTCAGTGACATATACCTTAAAAACAACAAGAAAAAAAATAAATGAAAAAAGTAACTTTCTTGATGTTTTTCCTCTCAAAATGACATTAACCACCTTTGAAAAAAACAGAAATGCTGTTAATCTTCTCTGGAGGCAAAATATCCGAAATGCAAGAGAAATTTCACAAATAACAGGAGTTACCCTACGCTCCTGTGAACGATATGTCAGTTCCTTAAAAAAAATGGTAAGATTATTGTACATCAGTCCTCTGGTCGACCACGAAAATTAACCCCCAGAAAACGCCGCCATATTGGGAAGATCGTCAAACGCAATCATTTCACTACAGCAGGTGAAATGAAAGAAGAAAAAAATTCTGAGCTTGAGGTTAGTGAACGTACCATTCGTCGTGAGCTTAAAAACCTTGGATTTGCTTCTGTTCTCCCTAGAAGGGTTCCTCTTTTGACACAAAAAAGCAAGAGAGAACCGATTGGTGTGGGCCAATGATCATGTGAACTTTAATTGGAAAAAAGTAGTTTTTTCCGATGAAACTACACTCCAAATGTTTTGTAACACCTTCCTGCATGGTCACGTGATGCAAAACCAATTGCTCCGATGGTAAAACATCCATTTAAAGTTCATGTTGGGGTGCAATCAGCATTAAGGGAAAAATCGCCATGCACATGTTCACTGAAAATTTGGATCGTCATTTATACCTCCGAATTTTGAATGAGCATTTATATTATAATGCAAATGAAGTACATGGTAGTCGATGGGTCTTTCAACAAGATAATGACCCGATACACACTTCCCGTGATGTTCAAAATGATTTGAGAGATCACCTTCCAGGTCGGATCCTTCCTTGGCCTTCCTACAGCCCAGATCTCAACCCCATTGAGAATGTGTGGGCTGTTTTAAAGAAAAATGTTGAGAAAAAGGTCAAGAGTATGGTCGCACAAAAAAAAATATTTCAAAAAATAATTTTTTTGACTTAATTAGGAAGGAATGGGACGATCTTGATAATACCGTAATTATTAATTGCGCTAAAAGCATGCTACGTCGTATTAAAGCATGTATTGATGCAAATGGAGGCCATACCAAATATTAATTTAATAATAAAATATATGTATTTTTTGTCCATCTTTCAGAATATAAAAAAATATTTTAATGATTTATTATTACAATTTGCATATATTATTAAAAAATTGACCGCCATTCTTTTCGCCGGGGTCTGTAATAAAAAAGATCTTGAGTATACATATAAACTGTACTGTACGGTTAGCTAAACTGTACTGTACGAAGTGATAACACCAATTAGATTTATTGTACGATAAATAAAAAAATTGAAAAGTATACAATGAGTTATGATTGGCTGAAATATTTTCGTACAGTACAGTTTAGCTGACTGTACAGTACAGTTTATCTATTTTACCGTATTAATTTCGCGATTTCGCGATAAATTTTCGTATAACAAAAATCTTTTCCTTCAAAGTGCAGTTGGTTTACTCGTGCAGAAAAAACTACGGTTACTCTTGTATTCTGCGGATGTTTTCATATTTAATATGTAAATAATCCCTGCGCAAGTGTCTGCTGGGTATTAAATTGAAGGTCGGGAAAAAACTACGGTTATTCATCATGGATAAGCGGGACGTTATTACAGTCCGTCTGAATGAGTACGCTCGACCAGGTGGTACGCTTCAACAATGACTGCACTTTTTTTTTTGGTTTGCCCTAATGTTTTATGATTTCAAAGGGAGTATTTTCGTTTGTATCTAATTCTTAACTTTATTTAAGATTTTTAACGAATTAACTTTTTGTCTTACACTTTTTGCCAATCAAAATTATATAATTAAAAAAATATAAGCCCTAGAGGGCGAAATCTTTATTAATTTTTAATTTTTAGATATGAAATAAATATAAAATGATAGAGGTAGCGAATGAAATGCATGATGCTATCGAAGAGGAGGGAGTACGCGGGTCCTAGACCATTTAATGCGAGTTCCAGCATCAAGTTATTTCTTCGCTCTCTCACGTTTACGAAAAATATCTATAGCTAATTTGTTTCTATCACTAACTACAAGATTTTCATCCCTATACTCTTTACTACACTAGATTTTATCCCGCCCATATTTACGAAAGCTTTGTCTATCTTTATCACTACCACTATGTAAAAGATTATTTCACATAAGAGAACTTCTCCGAGATTAAGTAATTTCGAACCTACAGCATAAATTCAACTGTGGTAAAAAAATAATTAATATAATATTTCCTATTCGTACTTACATACTTACCTCTACGATTCATTTTCACAATATTCCACTCCGCCTTATATTTAACGATATAGAAAATGAAGTGGACGATGATGATATAGAGCTTGAAAGCGAATATGAAAGAATGATGACAAAGTTTAATGGAGCGAAGATGAAGATGAAAGAGAAGAAACAGGCGAAGAGAATTCTGATCATTGACCAACCTCTTAGAAATTTGTTGCTTAATGCGTTATAATAAAGGTATGTCGATTTTTTATCGCCAGTACGATACTGCGCCAAACATCAAGAATTAGGCACGTGAAAATGCTTATTTTTCATTGTCGTTAGGTATACTGCGCCAAATTTATTGAGGAGCGTGATGTTAAGGCATGTGATTAGATTGAATAATTTCACCGCGCCTATTATACGCGTGATGATAATACATTCTACTTTTATGATATTAAATCCAACTTTTTATAGTATTAATAAAATTTTTATTCAATTTATTAATACAGTACTAGCAACAGAATACACGATCACCAAAGTATCAAATGAAATAAAACCAAAATTACGAAGCTCAAATATAAATATGGCCAGCGGCGAGATCAAATGCAGATATATAATAAGAAGAGTAGTATGCCGTTTTATTTTGGAACATCTATAGAGGAGGGAAAATCCGTCGATTAGCATCGTTTTCAAGAAGCTAGCTGAGCAATAAAATCAACATACCTTATTATTACTTTGCGGAATATAAGAGTTCGTTTGAATGATAATATTGATGATGTAAGTTTTATTATTTTGCTTGATTTTTTCGTTTTACTTGCATACGGCGGATAAAAGGGTTCACTAACCAGGACATCACCTTTTTATATAATTCGCAGGATTAATACTGTATGATCGCATCATGAAAATCTGATCAACAGACTCTCCTTAATTTAACAATAAAAGAATTTAAGCTATCCATATGTAAAGATCATCAAGGGTCCTTTTACAATAATATATGTAATAATTTTGAGAATATGCGAGAAAGTTGAGAATAAAAGTCCTTGGATCTTTGCTGGCAATCTTATTATTGCCCAATAATTTGCCGATCCAGATTTCCTAAATTGCCCTTTCATCTTCACATAAAATTTCTATATCAATCTATTTTGTATTTATTAATAATCTTAAATCTTTTTCCAATGAATATCCTTTCATCATTTTAAAATTTTGATGTCGATTTTTACAAATTTAGATTATGATGCAGTATGGCCTGTATGGGATGATCCTGGATTAACTAAATCCCAGTAAGATACGTCTACAATCTCATATTAATTATTGGATCTATATGCATCGTTCACAGGACCGAATGGTTGGTCATGTAGTGGCCATAAGAAATCTCTATGATCTCAAAATAAACCTTTAATATTTTATTTCTTTCGCACTACTAATTCAAACGATTGAAAGAAACCGTATATCCAGGAGGTGATCGAAATACTATGAAATATGAATATAGAATTAATTACTTTTTGTTTAATAATTCTTTTAACCAAATAATAAATAATATACAAGTAATATAATTATAAATATATTAAATATAAAGTACAATTAATGATATAATGAAGTATCCATTCTAATAATTTACACCCAGAGTAGAATCATATATCATTTCAGACGATGGCATCTTATTAACAAATTTATACCTTATTAAATGTCATTTATTTTTATTTGCATTTGCATTACTATTGAGCCATATATTATATAATGAGAAACAATTATGGTGAAAAGATCCCAAAAATATTTTGTATAATTGCAAGAAGTAATAACATTTAATGTTGTTACATTTATATGTTTCTCCTATTTTACTAATTTGCAGAAATTCACTCATATATTTAGATTAAAATATAAGCGCAAAAAATTTTATAAGTATTTGAAGAATTCAGCCGTTGTCAAAGTTTTGGTCTCAGTATACATTATGTAGCTGTCAACTTCGTACTATTGTCTAAAGCAAAAGGGTATGATATTCAGATTTTTTTAATAAAATATATTTAATAACCTAATATCTTTTCAATTAAAAATCTTTTAAAAATTTTAGATCTCCATTATATACTACAATGTCAATTCGCTCATACTATTGATGAAGTTACTTTAATTAATCACTTTTACTAACGTAACAGTAAGCCTAAAAGACATAAAACCAACTTTATTGATGAATAAAATAGGTGCATTAGTAGATAAATTAGATTTATTAGGTTTAAAAATTTTCAATATTTTATGTGTTATTTTTGAAGTTCTTTATAAAAATATTGTAAATTTTTGGCTGAAATTGATTTCATTTACTTATTTTTCACGCAACTGAACGTAATGGTTTAATTCATCGAGGACCTGATTAATTAGTTTATCATCTCAATTAATAATATTAATAATTTTAGCTTTAATGTCATTTTATGAACTTGTAAATATTGTTAAAACTATGGTATTAGTGGGAATTGTATTAGTGAAAACACGACACTTGAGTAAGGACTCGAGCTAACGTGAGTCAAAGTGTGAGCCAAAGCGTTAGGACCATTGGATAAAGAAATTCTACCAATATTTGTGACAAATAATTGCACATCATGATTAATGATTGTCACAATAAGGATCTAGAAAATTAAATTGAATGTACTTATATGTAAATAGAAGCTTGAATACTTTTTAAATATTTTTGAAGCCTGTTTTCTTCCAGAAAAGCTTATGAGAAATGAAATCTTTTGACCTACCGGGATTCTGATTAATTTGGCTCTTTTAGTATAGCGTATCGTTTTAAAAAGTTAATTTTGTTCTGAATATAATAATGATGCTACATAAAAATACTATTTTTAACGAACTAGTTCGACAAACCGCAGGTTGCGCCACAAAAAAATAAATTGTAAGACGCCTGTCATTTTATACTCTCCTTTCTTTAAATCATATAGTATAATAGAATATTTTTTTTTATTGGCCATAAATAGCACCATCATTATATTTCTCAGAGAATAGTTTTGTATAATCCAACTATTTTTGCCGTTCCAGAAGCCAAGAAATATTTTATTATCACGATACTATATTACTATAACTATATTGACTCTTTTATCGCTATTGGGCTTTAATATAAGTAAAATGTCCGGATGTCTTCAGCACAAACAACATGTTAATTCTAAGACAGAGAAGATAACAAGGTATAAGGGAAACCTTTATTTATCAACTTTGACATGTCAAGTGATCTTGTCGGTTAGAAGATATTAACAATTTTTTTTTCCTAAGATAATCGATTAATGGGCTAAATATTAAAAATATTTGCAATTATATATATATATAGACTATAAATTAAGCTTTTAATATTAAAATTTATTATTGTAATAAGTTTCTAACATTTGTGAACATGTATAAACACTGATGCTTATTCTTTTTAGCATACGATTAAAACAATTTGATTTATATAAAATATCATGGTAAAAGTGTATAACGACTCCAACGATTCACAATGATTATGATTGGTCAAATAAATTTTATGTGGTTATACTTATGTCACATTCGACAAATCCGGCCACGATGTTCTTTTTATTAATAATCATATCGGCCGATAGAGGAAGTCCCTAAAATTTTGGGGGATATTTTTGCAATCAGTAAGAGGGACCGTCATATCAATTGTCAGCCAATAAATTAAACTACGCCACTTAAATATACTTTTGGTGACCACTTTATTATATACATACTCGCATCAATACTCTAGAAACTCATCTGTTATAAACAATAAATATTTTGACGGATCATAGTACTTGGGACAATGGGTTAGACGTGATTTGCATAATAATATACTGTACATAATAAAAAGAGGGTTAGACGCGATTCTACATGGGGCTTAAACGCATAAAAAAGGAAATTTTTTTGTTTTTAGAGAATCAGATTATGTAATATTAATAGTTTAGGGAAACAATTAAGGCCTAATTTCCGATATGTTATTCTTAAAATATATTTGATTCGTATTAATTAATGTTAAATCTTACTATATAACAGTAGTCACAGTCAGAGATTTATAATTCCTCAAGAAATCGTTAGAATATTTCTTAACTTTCGTTAATCAATCAATCTATCTATATTTTCTTGTCAATTTATTATAAATAAATTTGAGTCTCAGTTCAAACATAATACGAGCCGATTATAGTTAAATTCTTATTGTATCGACAGATAATTAACGAAGTTATATCTAAATCTGCTCAGAACCGTAATAATACTACCTTCAATACACGGTTGTTAAAGCTACTGTATGTACAATATAAAATTGTAGTAATTGATTTCGTTAATTTACTTAGTTGGATGAAATCAACTTATGAATTGTATTTTCATTTGAAAACTTGCAGTCTGGAGCTTGTTGATCGCTAATATTATCGCCACTTTGTTTTTGTTTGTTTTAGCCCAATTTAAAAAAAGCGATCATAATTCTGAGTTACGCAGTCACCGATCAAAAATCCGATTTACTGGCACAAAATAATTAGTAAATATACAGTATGTCTTCTTCAACTAAGCGAAAAATTAAGATGCTGTAAAAAAAAAAATTTACATATCAGAGAATATACGCATGAAACATATAAATTGATCATTTTTATTTTATGATGCAAAGTTTCAATTCTGTGAATATTTAAATAATCATTTACCAATTTAGCAAGTATTACATAAATATACTATTAATTTTAGTTTTGAAGTTTTTGATTATTTTATTTCTTTTCCTTACATTAGCGATGTCGTCATATTGATTTTTAAATTCAACTTTATGCATGTTGCACATTACACCGTTTCAAAATAAATCAATTTCTCACGGTTCACGTTTTGTTGTACGTCTATCAACAAAAAACATAGTATGGTCTTAAGAATTCCCTTATTAAGAGGATCCAATTGTCACATGAATTTATTATATGTCGGCGCTTTATTTAGCCGATTGTTTCCAAAAACAATTTTAGAACTTTTATTTATATAAATATACAAGGATATCTATGGAATGAGATTTATCGTTTAAAATTAAATTTTGTACATATCATGCAAATTCGTGATTCTGGACAGATTTTTAACGATTCTTATGGTACATATAATATAATTTTTTTTACTTATTATATGCCTTTTAATTCAAAGTCTTATCTGCATTCAATAAAATAAACAATATACAATTAATTAGAATTAATTCAAAAAATATTTGTTATTCTTTCTTCAGAGGTTCAGGAGAGCATGAGTGGCTCTTTCATTCATGTCAATCCTTTGACGACGTCTTCACAGCAAGCTAATTACAATGAGATTTCGAGCGACTTAGCTGATTATATTAGTAATTTGTATCGATTGTTGGACTTACGTAATGATGAAGGTTCAAACGGCATTGGTAAGTTTAGTTGTGAATTCAAATTGTTAGGACATTCTGCAAAATTCTGCAAAGTAATAGTGATTTAATATGTTTAATTTCTTGAAGTGGATAAGATAATTATTTCCAAGGAATATTTAAGGAAGCTATGCAATGATATGGTCCCATCAAGTTTCGAGTCTATTTCTGAAATTGATTATACAGAATTGAATTCAATCTCATTTCGTCTTATTGGATGTTATGGAAATCGCAATTTAATCGCAAAATTCTTGTTGAGTAGAAACATAATTGATCAAAAATTGTAAATATAATATATCTTATTTTGTAATAATATCATATATACGAAAATAATTAATTCAAATTTTCATTATAGGTATGATTCACTTACAGCTTCGGTATCAATTGGTGATACAAACCAACCTTCGTTACGTCCAGGAATTTACTTATCAATAGTGAATTCTAATTTGGGTTTAATTATTCATTGGCCCGAAATTGGATGCTATGAAAATGCTTCAAATGATTCTTCCCCGATTAAGAGGAATATGGTTAATTTACATAGGTATTGTTTATTTGTTTTTTTTTTGCATTAAAAATTTAGGGTTTTATAATTAATTTCATTTTTGAATTTGTTTTATTAGATACCTAACAAAACTTACCGATCATCAGATGTGTTTTATGAGCGATAAAGATTTAGAAAATTTTGATCTAAATTTAGAAAATTCTTGTAATAACTCAGATGATGATGATGATATACATTATAGATTTGAAGTAAAGAAAAGCCAAGAAGAAAAAGATGATTTCAAAATTGATAATGGATTTAAGGTTTAATTTTTATATTAAATAAATATATAAGTCTATAATTTATTAATAATTTTTTATTAATTTTTTCATATAAAGGTGAATCTGTCTAACGAAATCAAGATCGAAATTAATAATCAAATGGAAGATGATGTCCCATTAAATCCAATAGGTACAGTATTATAAAATTTTTTACTTTGACTTAAGCTGATATTTATCTTTTATTTATTGAAAGTTAAATAAACCTATTTTATTCTTAGTTGTTGAATCTACTACGAATCAATCATTCGTCACTCGGCAACTGATAAAGAAAACTTGGAATTTAAAAAGGAAAACTTCATATATTTCTGCAAAACAGTTTCCAGATGATCTTGAAACTAAATTGCAAGATCGTTATTTACTTATTGATCGTAATAGGATGGATATGAAAGCATTGGAATTATTTGTTAAACATGGATTAAAAATGGAAGAACTTTTAATTCCATTGCACGAAAAAATATCTGCTGCTAAAATGCGAAATAAATTGAAGATGATTCAAGAAAAAAGTGCTATCGATGAGGACTTCAAAATCATTCAACAAATGGCATCAATAAAACTATGTGTCTTTGAGAGGTGCGCATATTAATAATATTTATTTGAATTAATTTATACATTTATGTTATCATTAACTAACTTCTTTCATATATGAAATATATAGTAATTTTGACAAATGTATTATACAGGATAGTTCATTATCACAAACAAATATGAGCGATACGGGTAAATATAAAATAAAACAATCATTAATAAACCGGCAATATTTACTGTATTTTTAATTATGTAGTTTTCGAAAGAATTCGAACAAAATATCCCGAAATAGAAAATCAAATTAAAAAAGAGATTAAAATTAACTCAAAAAATTGGAATATAATGAAAAAAAGGTATAATTTAACATATACCTTCATTGAGGATATACTGGAAAAAGTCAACGAAGCAGGAGAAAATGATTATGGAATAACAGAATCATATGTAGTAAAAACTTTTCGTAATATGTTCACAGATGACGAAACTGACTTAAAAAAATTGCTTGAAAAATATACACAACAAATACAATCAAAATTCAATTGGACACCTAGTGATTCTAAATTCGATAAGGCAATGCGATGGGTACTTGGCGATCCAAATATCAATAAAGCAAAACAGAAGACCAAAGACAAATCAGATGAAGAATTTATTCAAGAACTCGTAAAATTTGAATTATTTAAAGGAAATGATGATATTAAAGAATTAATTATAAATACTTTCTTTGAAGAATATAATAAATGGAAAAAAAATGATTTTCCCGAAAATCTTCAAAAAATTTTGAATAATACTCGAAATAACAAACTAATAGAAGATAAATTAAAGCGAGAATACGAAGAAGAAGAAAAAATAATTGAGAAAAATATGTTTGAAAAAATATGTAATGAAATAGAAATTAAATATAAAGATGGGTGAGTTTTTTAGAAATTATTCTTTATATATATTTTCTAATAATTTATTACACATTTTGTAGCTCTATGCGATTAATTGTATTAAATGTAAAAAGTAATCTATTTTCTTATATTACTTGAATATACTTTTTAATAAATCAGGTTATAAAATAATATTTTATTTTATAGAATCATTTGCATACTTTGTGGTTGAATATGATATTGAAGAGCTTCAACCAAACCAACTGCAGATAACTATTTATGAAACATCATTAAAAGAAGAAGATAAGCTTCAGATTCAAGAAAATGAGTCTCATATTCCATGTCCAATTTTACTTTCTAACATGAATCAATATGGTATATCATTTCGCATTGATCCTCAGTACTATGATTTTAAGTAAGATATTAATAAATAATTTAAAATTAAATCTTTTAAGAGTAACAATATCTAATATCATTTTTGTAATTATAGAAAAATATCTCAATTCGATAAGCGTAAATTTCTTCTTGTGCTTTACAATAAAAAAATGCAAAGAATCGAAATATTCTTTGATACTGCACAACCATTGGCACAAAATTTTAAATCACATTCGACTATTAAACCATTTAAAATATTGAATACAGATGAAAATTTTATTACTGCAATTAATGAGCCAAAAGGGTTCCTCGCAATATATAATACGAAAGAAGTTAAGGTATTTGTTGGAAATCCCTAGTTTATTTAATTTTTGCATTTTTTGTCTAATAGCATTTCTTTTCTTTTTTTAAAAAAAAATTATGATAATCAGTTTGATGTATTTTCTTTTGATGATAATCGATCAATATTATATGGACGCAATGCAAATATTCAATTATTGCAATGGTATAATAATAGTATACCGAACATTAAATATTTTCTATTCATCAAAGATACTGAGGAACTATGCTTTGTTGAGAATAATGGACGAGCACGTATTTTTAATGTCATAACTCGACAATTCCGACCAGCAGTTTGTAATTTTCCATTTAATTTGGTTAATGTTTTAAGTTCTCCAGACGGTTCTTGTATCATGGCATTTGTGGAAGTTAGACCTGAAGAAGCTGATTCAATTATTTTTACTGGTAATAAAGAACACCAAGATTATAATGAAATTAAGAAAATTAATCGTGTTTACGTTTATTTTTCCGAAAATTTTGGAGGTTCTGTTAGTAAAGGTGTGTAATTAAAAATTTATTTTATGATATAAAAATTTATACTAAATTTAATATTTATTATTGTTGTTGTTGTTGTTGTTATTTCAGTTATTGATTTACCATCAAATTTTAAATCCTTGGAGTCTCTTCAAATTTCCTGTATTAATGACCGACAGACTCATTTGATCTCACTCGATTTACAGAATGGGTGTTTGAATTCTTTATTAGTCAAACTTACTCTTGAAAAAGCTCAATTTCGTTTCCAAAAATGCATGCAAAAAAAGTCACCTACGCTTCAGAGAACAAACCTAAATGATCTTATTAATGCCTATAAATTAATGTTTGAAAAATATCCAATTGATAACTGTATCGATCCTAAAAAAAGTCGCCCTCTTAGTTTGAAAATAGTTCTCGATATTGATGATGATGTTGAAGATTACGACGAAAAATTTGAAGAATATATCACTAAAATGTTTGAAAATTTGAAGGATTCTACAAAAAAACCCGCATCAATCCTAAAAAAGTTTTCTACATCAGTGATTACATTTCAGGAACTTGATGTTGAAGATGCGAATTTTCAGAAGAAATTTTCATCAGAATATCAATTAGGAGAGTGGATTATTCAACTTTGTTGTCTAATTCCCATACAAATAGCTGTAACAAGAAACAATTTATTTCAACCACTTAAAGATGGATTATCTTCGAATGAAAATTATCTAATTGAACTTGAAGATGGTCGTCATGTAAACATTATATCAAAAAATATATCTTTTGGATGGTATGAAGGAATCTTCAAGCATTTTGGTAATAAAAAAGTAAAAGTTATTTCAAGCATGGGCGAACAATCGTGTGGGAAATCATTTATGCTAAACCATATTGTTGGAACTACATTTGATGGATCAGCAATGGTATAATAATTATTCTTTTTTAAGTCTTTTTATTAATTCTAAATTTTTAACTAATTTGTTTTTAGCGTTGTACTGAAGGCGTATGGATGTCATTAGGTAATTTTTAAAAAATATATATTTTTTTATTGATATTTTATTAACTTTTATTATAGTAAATACACAAGAATGTATCTATGTTGCGCTCGACTTTGAAGGATTAAAATCTCTTGAAAGAACTCCACAAGAAGGTATATATCTCTTACAATTCATCCCTTTTATTATCAACTAATGAGAATGTTTATTATCCTTAGATATGTTTTTAGCACTCTTTAATACAGTTGTTTCAAATCTTATTCTTTTTAAAGTAAATATCGTCTGTTTTGCTAACCCGCTTTTGTTTTACATGTTACTAATATGAATAATAAATTATTTAATTCCAAAGAATCAATTTACCATAAATAGAGATATATCAATGTTTCAAAAATTTCAAGATGGTGCAAAATTATTTGAGTCCGATCCAAAGATATTTCAGGTAAATCATGATTATAAATAATTATTTAAACTATAATATTAAAAAGTCATTGCCCATTAATTATTATAGGCAAGACTTTGTGTTATCATTAAAGACGTGCCTAAAGTAGATAGAAATGGTATTACTAGAGAGTTTCAATCGAAATTTGATCAATTAGTTTCAAAGGTAATTAAAAAATTTTATTTGTCTATTTCTTTAAAAAAATAAAACTAATTGAATGTTTTAGGAAGGTGAAGATAATTTTATTACAAGAATGTATGGAAATGGATTGGATATTATACCTTGGCCTGTTTTTGGTGATACCGCATGGTTTAAAAAGTTATCAATATTTAAAACAACTCTGGATAAACTGGAAACGAAATATGAAAATGCAAGAGCTTTCTTGCAAAATACAAAAGTAATCATGGCTAAATTGAAGGTTTGTGTAAACATTAAATAAAGATAATTAAAAAAATATTCTCATAATTGGATGTAAACTTAGATATGTGATTGGGGTTCATTGGACGAAAACCTCATACAAATTCGCGTTGCAACATTAAAAAGATTATTTCCAATCGCTGTTTCTTATGGTATAGAACAAAAAGATTCTATCATTGAACACCTTGTGGTAAATTTAAATTTTATTTAATGCACACAATATCTGATATTAAATTCTTGATGAGAGGTATATCTAATTTTTTATTCAAATAGAATCACGATTCTGGAGAACCAATTGATGACCCAATAATTAACTTATGTGACGTTTTGAATAACTTGGAAAAATCAACTAAATTATTACCAGACTCTAATATCTGGTTATATGATAATAAATATGAAACTTGTATTCAACTTTCTAATAAATTAAGAAACTATTTTGAAGAAATTGTTCAACCACGAAGAGAATCATCTGATGACAATGAATGGTTTTCTAACCTTGATAGATTCTTTAAGTATATTATTGGTCGTCGAACTTCACGTGTTCAAAATTGGTATATGCAAAATACTGCTAAATTTCCACAAGATAACAGTGATGTTGTTAATGGAAAGTATGAAATGGAGCAAGAAATAAGCAAACTCTCACTCCTATGGACCTTGTGTGGATTAACATGCCATCAATGTGGTTTGAAATGTGTCAAAAATCGGGATCACAAAGAAAATCATGACTGTTTAACCGATCATAAGTGTCATTTTTTTTGTCACTTTACTGAAGCCCATAACGACAATTTAATTCCGAAGTGTAGTCACAAAGCTGGACATGAAGGAAAACATGCTTGTGACAAAATAAGCCATTTATGTGGTAAACCATGTAGTCTTGATGATAAGCGCAATTGTCAAAAAGTTTGTTCAAAGGAAATTGAACATGATGACGATGAACATTTATGTCAATCAAAACGTCACTATTGTGGAAAAGATTGTTCATTATCAGCATCTACCCCAAAAGGAGTTTATCAATGTCCAAATAAATGTATTATATCATATGAAGAAGAACACGATTCGCATCGTTGTGAGAATACAATTTGTCCAATTCAGTGTCCAATTCCGAATTGCAAAGAAAGATGTCAAAGTGATGATCATTTTCATGCTTTTTCCGAGGTTAATCATTTTTGTGGGTATGTATTATTATGATTATTTTCATTATTTTTTCAAATAAATGTCATTAATTAAAAAAAAAAAAATTTTTTTTTTTTGATTTAAGGAATGAGCATCAATGTCGTGAATTATGTGAAGATAAAGGTATATGTCAAGTGGTAACTGAACCTAAAGAGCAAGAAGAAACTTATAAAGGTTTAGTCGAAGAAACTTCCATTACATTTACAAAGGTACAATTTAATGCATATAAAGTTCTAATTTTTATAGTTGGTATAATACAAAAATGTATTAAAGTTTTGTTATTTATAATAGTATATTCAGTTAAGTGAAAGATTAAAATGTAATAAAAAGATTCCTCCAAATGAATTTAAACATACTGGAAAACATACGCATAAGGAAAATGGATTTCATTATTGTGATACAAAATGCCAGTTTTGTGAATATTATGTATGTATTAAGAAATTATGTTTAATTATTTAATTTCATTTTTTGGTAATTAAAATATTAAAACTATAAAAAATTAGTGTACATTACCCTATGGACACACACAACAAACTCATGACACGAGACATGGAAATATGACACAAACTGAATTTACAGGAGAAGATAATGAGTTTGAATATGCAGGGTATGATATATTGATCATTAAAAAATAATACAGTAAATATGATATTTGTTTTTTTAATTAAGATGTCTAATTGTTAGATATAAATTAAGAGTTGGTGATCAAGGAACATTTGTTCTTTGCAATTTAGTGAGTTTTACATAATTATAAAGTTATAATTGATAATTTCCTATTTATGTTGATTTTTTTTTTATATTAGTTTTGTAAAGATTTAGGTAGACATCGTCATATTGATTACTGTCAAAATGCCGAAAATTGTAAATTGGGGAATCAAGGTCAAGATATACAACACATAAATGGTAATCTATAAACCCTTTTGTCCTAAGTGAACTTATTTACTTATTATTATTATTATTATTTATCAGAGAACGTTTTGCCTAATCCCAATGAGCCGAAAGATTTCATTTCTCACAAGCTTTTCTGGAAGCGAACAGGCTTCAAAGGTACAACATATATAAATTAATTACTCTATCGCCTATATATACATATATCTTAACTGTTTAATATTTTCTAAGATCCTTATTCCGTTCAAGATCAACAAGAATTTGAAAAATGCGATTATGAATGTCCCGACGATAAGCATCATAATTCTGATACTAAATTTTGTGAATTACAACTTTTCCATGCTCCACTCAATCCAAGTTCAAGCCCTCCAATCAATTATGGATATATATCTTTAGATGGACATCATTTTAATTGTGAAAATCCAAATGCTGCTTTTCACATTATTTTGGTCTTGGATCGTTCAGCGTCTATGAGTATGCAAGGTATTAAACCGATTCCAGGTTTTCTAATTTATGACGACTTAAAAAAGAAACATAATAATAGGATTGGCGCAGTTTATCAGGCGGTAGTATTAAATGATATTTAATTATTTATCATTATTTTTATTGATTAAATTTATTATTAATATAGGTATACTCATTTATGGACGCACGTAGAAATTCTGCTCAAATAACTATTCCTGATAGTATTTCATTAATCTTGTTTAACAATTGGGTATTTAGTTTTACACATATCAACATTTAAAATTGGACTTGCATTTATTTAAAAGTACACGCTAATCATCAAAATATTACAGTCTAGCGTTCCATTTGAATATCAAGATTTAACAGATCCGAAAGTTTTGTTAAATTCAATGCTCCAATACGAAGCTTGGTTAGGAACAAATTATGATAGTGCAATTACGAAAGCTGGATCTTTGATTGAAGCTCATTTTGATTCTAAAAAGTATGTTCTTTCGAATTTGTTAAAATATTAAAACTTTTCGGTATAACTTATTCTTTTTAAATTTTCTTTTAGAACAAATGTCATTATATTTTTATCTGATGGAGAATGCTATATTCCAACAAATCAACTTCATGCTATTTGTAAACAAAATAAAGAAAAAGGGTATTTTGTCATTTTTTTTTTTTAATAAAATATGTTAACGATCTTATTTTTTAATTAAAAATCCTTGGAAATTTCAGATCTCCATTATATCTTTATACAGTATTATTTGGCAGCGATTCGCATAGTGGCACTTTAGAAGAAATGGCAAAAATTGCACAATCTTATCATCCACAGAATTCATCATCCGATTCTCTACGATGCCAATTTACTCGTGTTAACGATGCAAATAAATTAGTGATTCATTTTACTAACGTAGCAGAAAGCTTAAGAAAACACAAACCATCTTTGCTAAAGAAAGTATAATAATAAGTACAATAGTGCCATTAGTGGATAAATTAGGTTTAAAATTTTCAATTATTGTTTCCGTGCGAGAAAAGCTGCCACCTTTTCCACAACAAGTTACATTGAGTTAAATTTAAATAAAATAAGAACTTTATTAAATAAAATGCGTTGCTTGGTTTATTATTATATAAAAATTATAAGATACGAATTTGGGTTAAATTTATTGGGTTAAAATTATTACATTGTGAAAATAAATTCTAATATAAAAATTAATTAATGTCTGAACGTAAGAACTCTTTTAAAGTTACTTCTTATATAACTAATTTAAGAGTACTTATTTTAGGGTTACAGTCAAACCTCGTTATATCGAACTCGCGGTTCAAGGGCAAAAGTTCGGTATATAGAAGTTCGGTATGTAAATTTTAATTGTCACGTGATTAAAAAATATTAATTTTGGCCAGAAATTAAGATTTAACAGATTTAACAATATAAATTATGTTGAAATTTCAACCACGTTCTCATATGATGTCTGAAATTTGTAAATGAAGAAATTATAAGATTACCTATAGACGCGTTGAAATATAAATTATTTGCTATATGATATTATATTTTAATGTTACGAATTATGAAAAGAAACAACATAATCTTTATAATACTTTAATTGGAGAATTCGAGTTAACGTCCGTAATTTACTCGGACTAAAATTAAGTGATCTCGATTCATTATAAAGAAAGAAATTCTCATAATAGAAACTTAAAAAATAGTAAATCTAATCCCGCCTATTATTGGATTTTAATTATTTAATTAATCCATAATATGACAAGTCGAGTCGACTCTAACTCTGTAACTCGAGTTAACTCTCAAGAATTTTTTGACTCGTCCCCAAGCTCAATAAATCATTTGATGCCCATATAAATCCTTATTTGTAATATTAAATAGACCACTAATCTTTTTGCAGCTTTTATATTGATTTAATTTAAAGCTCTATAATTATGTAGTTACAGTATAGTACGATATAGATTTTCATAAGTTTAATATTGCTATATCTCATGCGTGTATCAATTTATTTTATTTAGTTTCGGACAATACACTATATTGAATCAAATAAAATTTATTGTATGCACTCTTCCGACATATCAAAATTTGATGTTGAATGAAAGTAATATTAAGAAAAGTGTTATATTATGACAAATAATTACGTATCGTGATTATCATTGGGTGCGTTTACAAATTCATTTAGATCGGATTTATATTGGATTGCCGATCCATTTGAATTAAATCAGATTCTTATAAAATCCGATCTGTGTTTACAAATACGGGTGTCGGATTTTGAATTTTTGTATACCACCTTAACACATTTTAGTTTAGACCTAAAAGTTAAATAATAATGAATATTCAAAGACGTTCTTTGTTTGTTTCAATTATATATTTAATTTTTTTGGACCAAACCATGATTTTTTTTTTATTGTTTTTAAGGTCCGCCTTAGTAGAATTTTGCGCGTTATTATTTTTATTAAAAGTTTCACTGTCATGAAGTGTTGTTTCCATTATTTAAACGAAATATGAAAGAAAATTTAACATGAAAAAAAAATTTCANTAGAATTTTGCGCGTTATCATTTTTATTAAAAGTTTCACTGCCATGAAGTGTTGTTTCCATTATTTAAACGAAATATGAAAGAAAATTTAATATGAAAAAAAAATTTTATCAAAAAAAAAAATTATATAGGTGGGTCATAGGGGGTAAACATGTGGTGGTAGGTTGGTGGATAGTAGTACCGGTATGTTTAATCGTGGGGTACACCATGGATTGGAAATTTAATAGTAAAATCCGATCTAAATGAATCAGGTTGATCAACTCAATTCGATCCAAATCGATTTTGTAATTTGTAAATATGGATTGGATTGAGGCGTCGGCTCAATCCGATCTAAATGAATTTGTAAACGCACCCATTGTCATTATGAACCTAAATCAACTCTCCTTCTCGAAAACTTATTAGAAACGAATAATATTGAACTAATTGAAGCAAGTGAAAAAGAGTATAGAATGATGAAGGAAAAAAGAAAAGAGATGCAAGAAATATTAAAAGACAATAACGTAGTTAACACGATAAAATATAATTTCGAACTAATAGAGGAAGGTTTGATCGTGAATGAATATAACTTAATTTGGAATAACAAATTAATAACAGGAGGTTTTAGATCGTGGAGAAAATTAGTTACGAATGCAATATGGAAAAACGAAATCCTAAACAGTGAGAAACTGGAAGATTTATTCATGTACAATTATAGTAAAGAATTCGATTGGATAACAAGTCTAGAATTTATTAGTAATCGAGTTAAATTCTCACAGAGACAATGTGGCGATAAAGATACGAAAGAACGCTCGTATAGAATTAAAAATTTACTCAAAGAACAACCCACTTATAAAACTTTATATAGAAGGAATACTAACAAAATAGATACAGATAATTGTATACGATGTGGGAAAAAGGTAAAAGAAGATTGGGAACACATATGGTTATGTGAAGATAATGAATTCTCAATCGATGAAATTATACGAGAATCACCATATAAATTAGAACAAATTTAATCGATTCCAATCAAAGTGAAGAACTTGAAATATTAAGAAACTATAATTGCGAATTTATCAATATAATAGAAAGTCCTTCAAGAATTCTTCTGGGGAAAAGTAGAAAATGGGAATTGATAAGAGGGATATATAACGCAAAATTTAACGATCTATCAAAAGAGAAAAAAGTTAAAGAAACTATCAAAAAACTTTGGATCTTCACGTACGAGGAAATAAAAAAACGAATATGGATTCCACGATGCGAAGAAATCAAAAGACTGGAAGAAAAAGCTCAAATTAAAAAAGTAGACTTAAGGAGGAAAAGAGACGATAAGGAAACAATAACAAAAGAATATCGGGATGAAGAATTAGAGGAAAAAATAAAAAAACCAAAAACAAAAGAAAAATTAGACAAAATAGAAAAAATAAAAAAACACAAACAAATTAGTTTAGTAACGTTAGATAAAATGAAAGGATCGATCACAGACGGTATTAATATA